CCATGGCGGTATGCGATGTGTCTTTTTTTTATTATTGATCTACTTGGTACGAATCATTCAAATATTATATATTATTGCAGCATGGCTATGCATGCCACAATTTGATGGGTTATAGGGTATATATGTTCGATCTCATTTTATTATGTGGAAAACATATTATTACCATTGATCTTCAAATAGGAATTCAATCAAAATAAGATTTGTTTAACTTCCTTCACGTTCGAATCATAGAGTGAGACATCAATGCAACAAAATGAGTAATAGACGGACATATGTAACGGACGTGGGAATTTGATTTTTTTATTCCTTGTAAAACTATTCGTCTATAGTCAGTAAGCGATCATCGGGAACGGTCTTATTAGAGAATAGCTGAGGAAATTGTAATTTTTGGCAATAATGGCATTTTTTATATATGTTTGGATCAACATGACGTTCTTAAATAAACCGTTATCACCAATATTATATCGGTAAACTATATTTTTGGAAATATCAAATGTATCCCTTTGCAAACGAAAGTTTTGTGTCACAGAGACGTCGATAATTGTTTTTTTTCTCTACCGGAACTCTGCTGCCGGTGTGATAAACTCATTCGGCAACGCGACAACGAGACGTGATTTTCTGACTTAAAATGAGGGAGTGAATATCAAGCCTGAAAATGATGTTATAAAACTTGAACATCACTTAATTTGCGGTAAAACACACACCCCAACACGACAGCATGCGGTCGTACGACCGCAGCTTGTACATCCCTGCCCTCGGCATTTCGTTTCATGCTCCCAGCTACGCTACTCTCCAGCCTATCTTGTTGACAAAAATTACAGCATTGATCTCCTGGAAATGAAATACATGGATTAATCAATTTGAAGATCTTTAATCTTCTGCCTACTGAAGTTAAACCCACTGAATTTTAACAAAAATTGAACTACGACGTCTTTTTCAATTTATATCTTCAAGTTTTCCAATTTTACCTAGATAATAAATAATAGGTTACAATAATAAATTTTATGTTCAAAAATCATGATCAATTATTAACGTAATAGGTGTTAATTGTTTGACTTACGTGTTAACGTTTTCACTTATACCCTATGCCTACTCACTTGGTTTTGTCTTCGGGTCTTCTCTGATTGCTTTCTTGGCTGTTGTCTTTGTCTCATCAACATTTGACAAACTGACATATCGTAACGATGAAACGATCGTGTAACTGTAGTTATAGTCCGGCAGAATCGTGGCCGAAGCTCGTTTTGAAACATAAAGTTTTGTTTTATTGTCAGATGAAATGTCGATGACATGATTAATGATACCCAGGTGGGCGGGGGAGTGGGTGATGTTGAGCAATTTGTTCTAAGTAGATTTTAAGGCGCTACGAAAGTATTCGTGCCAAGATGATCCTAAACCCTAACCTGGTACACATACAATGTTCAGGTTGTGCGCCATCTTGGTACGAATAATAACTACATGGATTAGTTTTGAATTCAAAGTAACATTGAATCTTATTACAATGTCAGAAATTCAATTTTAGCACGATAAAGGATATTTTATTTCACTAATATAAGCCAAGATCCATCGACAGCATCTAGCTTTCTTTTGCACTCTTCAACCAAATTTGTGTTGCCGCGGCCATTTCGTTTCCCTGCTTAAAGCTTCGGGACTTGGGAAATAATCTATTAGTTGAAATGGATTGGAGTATTCGACCTCGTCTTTCGCTCCAAATAAGGCCATGTAAAACCATCCACTGGTATCTAACGATGTTTTTTTTTTTTTTGAAAGAACCGGAACCTTTCAGGTTCAGCATTGACTTTGGCCAAATTAATATATCCTTGTGGAGATATACGGTATGCGAAACAAAAATGTGCACCTGCATGTTATGCCAACATAGCTGAGTCAAACATTTTGATCACTAGTACATCACACACATTTTTCTGAGTGTTTCGGTTGTACATGCGCTGGTAACGCGCAAATTTTTGCCCACACGCATCAAGTTCCACTTGTTTATTGACATATAGGTTTTTGACGAGCTTTTGTGTATGATTTCATCTCATAGAATTCGTATGCTGTTTAAAAGAATACTAGTTTCAGCTTTTTCATTCATTCAAACCGCGTGTTGGAAGTGGGTTTTGTAATATATATTGCGTGTTGGTTTTTAACTGGTTTATTGATATATATCATTTGACATATACTTAAATCGATGATACCAGTAAATCTTTAATACAGAAAGATCAGTATTATCTGCAATAAAAACAGCAGTACCCACCCAAATGACAGCTTGGGGATGGATAATCATCTTATGTGCTCCATCCCGTGGCGTTTCAACATGAAACCTGCCTCTTACCATTACTAAAATTTACGACTTATATGTTTTTTCTCATTGCACTATTCCAGTATTCCTTTACTGTAGTGGTTCCCAACCAGTGTGTCGCGAAAAGATTTCATTTTTGAATTAATTCCAATCTTTCGAATTCCACAAGAATTACCCCACGGCTATTGCTAACAAACAGAAACGACAAATTGGAGGAGTCGTATTCCAGGTATTTGGGTATTGTTTTAATTCTCAGTTTTGCATAATGCGCGCCAACACCGTTTTGTAAAATTGAAAATGTCAACTAAGGTAACAAATTATTGTGCGAAATTTTCCCTCAAATTCGACCAAGGAATTATTATTTGACTAGTAGAATTGCCATTATTGCCGGTTCATTGAATTATTATTTAAACTAAAAATAACATTCAGGATTCACGCAATGACTTTGCAGGGTTTTTATTCCCCATTTAATACGAAAACGAAACAGGCACAATAGGAAAGTAAAATAATAAGAAGGTCAACTATCGTCCATATAAATATCCGCATTCCGACGTCAGAAATGATAATATTGTTAGCTTAAAATTGGAACAGTTAATTTACACTTTCATTTATTTCGCCAATACAGAATAGTTCAAGCTTTTCTAGAACCTTGTTGATATCTTTCTTGTCTCCTTCAGAATCAAATTTGAATCCATCATATATTTCAATCGCATCAGCGCCAATTATAGCCAATAGAGTTGCAGTACGCAGGATATTGGATTCTTTATCAACTTGCAGGCAATTTTATAGTAGTCCCATGACCTTTCAAGTGGCTTCGAATTTTGAGATAAACTGCAACTTTTAACATTCAATGGCGCTGGAGTAGGAAGATTCATTTCTATTCGATTCTGCAGAAGAGCAATTTTATGTAGGCGTAATTCGTATCCTCGCTATTTCACAAAGAATAGAACCACTTCTGACACCATGTTTCGTTTCTTAATTGCTATATGCTCAGAATAGAAACTCGTATAAAACTGAACTCTGATTATTGAGAACAGCGGCACAACTTGAACAATACAACAAAACAGCGATCATAAACAAACGTCTACAAGTTAACACAACTGTGTATCGACTGGAGAGCCAGACGAGTAGATGAGATGCATTGCGCCGCAACAATTAAGAGTTGTCGCGCTACTCATCATTTGAGTAATCACATTACGTCACACATGTTGTATGTGTATTAAAAATATCCGATATTCGCCAATTCGGTAAAAATATTCGAATTATTCGATTCGATAAAATTATTTTATTTTGCCCATCCTTGTGATCTGTAATCATGTCAGAAATCAGGCGAAACGCGTGGTAGCACAAACACTGATGCAATGAAACCTAATAATAAAACCTTCATTAAATTTAGTAAATTGCACTATTTCACGAAAGCGTGGTGAAACTGACAATTATTTCATATCTCGAACACAGAAACTGTTATTATTCGGATAGTTTCTGCGGTCTGAAAAGTCGAATAAGCGTTTCGACATAGTAAATGCTACGATCTTTACCATCAAATTATGCTCGGGCCTTGCACGAAATTCATAACGTGAAAAGATTTGTTCATCGGTGAAAATCGTTTATAACAACTTTAAACTATTTAGTGTTTTTAGCGCTAATAATTAATTGTGGTAATGAAATACGGTTTGTTTGTCTCTTTCATTTCTTTCGCTAGTACCGACAATTACACCATTGAATGATTTTGGCAATAGGAGAAACATTAAATTGTAACAATAATGAATTACGGTAGGTTGTGCAAAAGTGAGAATACCTGTGATAATAATAGGACTACACCCAGGGAAAGAGAAAAACTAAAGCGTATTTGCGCCACGTATTACCCGTGTGGCCGCGCAACTTTTACAATAATGTGAGGTGCCCCGAAAGTGGGTCTCGTGTACAGTATTGTAAATAAACAGTAATAATATCGGTAACTATTAACCATCCATTTTAAATACAGGATATGTTTTACCGTATCTGATCTTTTATGTTTTTATTATTTTATAACTAAATGGCTTCAAGTGTAGGAAATTTTCCCGTTTTGTGATAGGTGTGCCGCAAATTTTTAAATAGCTCAATAGTGTGCCGCGACATAAAAAAGATATTCTGATAAAAGATAAAACTGATATTCGATAATATGACGCTCATCTGACATGTTTTTTCAAGTGTATAATAAGATAGGTATAATCTTTTCCACGCAGTTCAGATGGGAATGCGCGAATATATCTAGGAATCGCTAATATTGGTTTGCAATGCGATGAAATCCCATCTTGGCATTTCTGCCTCTCGCAATTGCTCCGTATATTTATAGAAGTTCTGTGCGTGGTTATCAAATGAAGAAAAAATGGGAGTATTTTTCTACTTCGCTACTACTCTCAAATCTTGACGTTTTGTGAAAACTTTCTTCCATTAAACCTTTTTTTGAAACATCCCCAACAATCACAATTGATTCTGTCATTAAACTTCCGAAACAAACACATGAAATCATCAACAAATGCATATCACCAAGTCCTAAGTAGATATTGCTGAATTGATCTTTGTTGTACCATTTTACATGTAATGGTTTTTGGTAAAGCTGTTATCTATCGTAAATACAGCACATTTGACTATGTTTTTATTCGCTATTTGATTAAGGATTTACACGACTTACTACGACTTAACTAACGACTAACGTAACTACTTAAACATTTGAACAATGAATACACCAATACCACCACCGAGAGAAAAAACCCCACGCAAAGCAAAAAAATCATCTACAAAATCACCAAAAGAAATAAGACAACAGGATGAGGCTCAATCTGAAGAATATATATCCAAGACCGATTCGCCACAATACAATGAAATTGTGAGTGGAATATTGCCTGTTATATCAAGGAACATCATAAATGCAATAACTTTACAACTGCCAGCAATGATAGGTCAATGTCTGGAGGAAAACCTGGAACACTCAGGCAACTCCGACATCCTCACCCCCATAACACCTAACATTCAGGATATTCTTAATGATCTGGGCCAATCCATGAGGGAAATTAGAACCGAACTATCAGAAATTAAAGAAAGTCAGACATTCCACACCAAAATGTATGATGATCTGGCAGAAAGAAATAAAACTTTAGAAAAACAAACAATTGAAAACAAAAAAACAATTGAAAATCTCTTGGAAAGAATATATGATCTTGAAGACGATTTGTTCTATGTCTCAGAAAAAGTAGAAGATCAGGAGAGAAGGGGACGTCTGGAGAATCTTGAGTTTCATGGGATTCCTGTAAAACAAAATGAGGACACAGATGAAATTGTTTGTAACATTGCGAAGATGATAGGTGTCGACATCAAAGCCACTGATATTTCTGTGTCTCATAGGATGCCAACAACGGGGGAAGAAACAAGATCTCCAGCTATAATCGCCAAATTTGTACACCGGAAAAACAAAATCAAAATCTTTGAAAAACGAAAATTTCTACGCTCAATGACACCGAATACCATTTTCAGTAATCCATCAAAGATTTTCATTGCTGAAAATCTGACAGCCCTCAATAAGGACTTGTATTTTAGAGCACGAGCTGCAAAAAACAACTGCGGCTATAAGTTTATTTGGACATCAAATGGGAGAGTATTTGTGAAGAAAAATGCTGAGATCAAAAACTCTTTGAACATTCGTCACGAAGATGACCTTTCTAAAATTCAATAACTTATATGTGAGTGTACCTTTTATTCATTTATTTTCCTAGTTAATCAATACCGAACTAACATGTTATTCATGTAAAAACTTACTAATATCGTGCCAACCAAAACTAACCTGTGAGATATGTGGGTCCAATTTCCATCTTGAATGCTCCCATTTTTGCCAACCGTGCTCAGTTGCATCACTGCCCCATCAGTCATCTAATCAGATTCATGGTGCACTTGCGTTCAATTCTAAAATTTTGCATGAAATAAGTAGATGCGAATGTAAAAAAGTAGAAGTGCCAAATTTAAAAACAACTAGTAAATCTTTTAAAAAAAACGGTCTTATTGCATTTTATATAAATATTCGGTCTCTTCAAAAAAACCATGATAATTTAGTGAACTTACTATCTGAATTTATTACCCCCCTGACCTCATTGCGATATCCGAAACGAGACTTGGTATTAATCCAATCTCAAACATCTCCTTACAGAACTACGAGTTTGTTCATAAGCCCTCCAAAACAAGTGCTGGTGGAGTAGGACTGTATGTGAAGCAAGGCTTAGTCATCACTGAAACTCAGGATTATGATTTGAATCACCCAGACTGTGAGGATTTGTGGATAAACCTTAAACTGAGTCCAACTGTTACATTCATAATTGGAATAATTTACAAACATCCCCGAAAAGACATTCCCAAATTTACAGAAAAATTATCCAACAGTTTAGAAAATTTAAATAAAGAAAAGAAATTGTTTATCTTACTAGGAGATTTCAACATAAATTTACTAAGTCCAACAACAGATCTGGCAACCATGAAATACATTGATATGCTCCTAGCAAATTTGTCACTGCCCTTAATTACCTCGCCAACAAGGGTAACTCGTTCATCCAGTACACTAATTGACAATATTTTTACAAATGCGATAAAATTTGACCTAATGAGCTTCATTATTCTTAGTGACATCAGTGATCACTATCCACAATTCTGCACAGTCTATGATTCAAAATTTAAAGGGGGTCAAGATCAAGATAAAATATTGAAACGAGATATGAAAAACTTTTCTATTGATGCCTATAGAACCAATTTAGAATCTTCTCTTAGCCCAATCTCAAATTGCCAAATCACTAGTGATAACTTGAATACTCTATTTGAAACATTTATAGAAATAATTCGGACAACTATTGATGCTCATGCGCCTTTGAAAGCAGTAAGTCCGAGCGAAGCCAGATTTCTAGCCAAACCTTGGCTCACCAAAGGGATTCATGTTTCTGTTAGAAAGAAGCATAAAATGTACAAAACCCACTTCAAAAAGGTAACGATATTCAACATAGATCATACAAAACTTACAGTAAATTATTAAAAACCCTAATAACTAAAGCAAAAAAATTATATTACTTCGATAAATTTAAACAAACTTGTGATGATATTAAATCTACTTGGAAGTTGATAGGACACTTGGCCAATATCAAAAAAGAAAGAAAACTTGCAATCAAAGAGCTAAAAACTGAAAATGGGTCGATGGTATGTGATCCAGTCCGCATTGCCAACTATCTCAACAATCATTTTACCTCTATAGGACCACAACTGTCTGAAAGTATACCTCAGTCTAATGAGTCTTTTTCGACTAATCTCAAAAATCCATTGAAAGAATCCTTATTTCTTAGACCAGCAACATTCAATGAAATCTTTAGCACTATAGCAATGCTACCGGATGGTAAAGCGGTTGCGTATGACAATATACCAGCTAAATTTTTAAAAAATGCTGCTGATATAGTGTCCCCTATGCTTTGCAAGTTATTTAATGCCTGCATAGACTGCACCATTTTCCCGAATTGCTTGAAAATTGCCAAAGTTACTCCTGTATTCAAAAGTGGGCAAAAAGAATGTGCATCCAACTATCGACCTATTTCAGTTCTTTCGGCCATAACTATAGTATTTGAAAAACTTCTACACACCAGACTTATACAATTTATAGATAACCATAGCATTATAAACAAATCCCAATTCGGTTTCCAAAAAAAGCACTCTACTAATCATGCGATTCTTGACATGGTTTCTTACTTTTATGACGAATTAGATAAAAAAGAGCATATTAGTGCCATATTCCTCGACCTAAAAAAGGCATTCGACACCGTTGATCATAACATATTAGTTAAAAGATGTGCCACTATGGTATTCGCGGACATGCATCAAAATTATTCCAGAACTACTTGAGCTCACGTCAACAATATGTCAAAATAGGATCACATTGTTCTAAACTTGAAACTGTACAGTGTGGAATTCCACAAGGATCGATAATCGGGCCAGTAATGTTCATACTCTTTGTCAATGATCTCCCTCATGCCACTAACTTACTTGTGAAACTCTTTGCTGATGATACTGGACTATTCGGAAGTTCAGCTTCATCAAATGATTTGGAACTGTACATGAACTCTGAAATGCAAAAAATCACATCTTGGATGGCTAGTAATAAACTTACTATAAATATTGAAAAGTCCAAATCTCTATTAATTAACCATAATAAAAATGAAAAAAGTAAGCAACCGATTCAGATTTTTATTAATGACATTCCACTTGAGAATGTCAATTCTTATAAGTACCTAGGTATATATATAAACAATAAGTTGAAATTGGCATCACATATCAACTACATAGCCAGCAAGCTAGCTAGAATAGCGGGAATATTATTTAAATTGAAAACATTTCTTACCACATCAGCTATGCGATTAATTTATTTTTCCCTATTCCAATCATATCTCCAGTATGGCATTGTTGCAATTGGTAATGCACCTCTACACACCAGACTTGATCCTTTGTACCATAGATTTAACATTATAAAACTTCACCATGTCCATGAATTTGAGATACTGAAACTCATGCACCAGTACTTCAACGACAAACTTCCAAAGGCATTTGTAGGGTATTTTACTAAACAGACTGCAGTCCATTCATATCGCACTAGATCTGCCTCGCAAGGTGCCTTATATGTCCCAAGATATACATTATGCTCAACACAAAAATCTATAAAGTATATGGGTGTGAAGTTGTGGAATGATTTACCAGGTACCATAAGATCACTGCCATATCATGGTTTTAAAAGAGACCTGAAAATAAAATATATTGATAATTACCTTTCCTGCTTTCTGGAAGTTGATCATCTGAAAATTTAATGACCAATTCTAATCTGCTGCCGTTTCTTAACATCTGACTCACGACAGCATGTGACCTTGGCTTGTTATTCTTGACAACGCTGATCCCAGCTCGAGCGAGTCCTTATTTTTCAAAATTGCTGCTTGGTTGGCAACGATTATGCCGTTATGTACCATTGAGGTGTTATATACACCTCAATGTTATGTACACGGTCTAAAAACCTAATTGTACATTTATTAGAGTTTCATCTACTTTTATTATGATTGGTTTCTCTTTGAATTTGGATTTTTTCTCTTTCATATATATATATAAAGAAGTTTGTAATAGCTATTTGGTGGTTTTCATGTTTTTCAAATTTGTTATATACACATATTATTCAATTGTTTGATGTCATGTTTTTTTATGTTTTGTAAATAATAATGATTAGAAGCATAGGCGTTAACTAAATTTATTTATTAAGCTGAATCAGCATCGTAGGTGTCGAAGACCTTTCGTGGTCCCTCGCGACTCCTGTCACACATATGAAGTTCTTTTTTTTTACTTATTGTATATCTTGCCATATTTCCGTGATATATTTATATTGATTGTGTTGACGAATAAAAGATGATTGATTGTTGTAGTGTACCTTTTTTGGCCTCACTTTTTTGATATTTGTAGTTAGATTTCTTGGGGCTCTGTTAAACAAAGTTACATACAAAATATTCAGGCTTGTCCATGGGACATTTTTTTTGTCCCACTCCCATCCCATGGGATTCCCATTGGAATACAATTTAATAAAAGTAGTTAAATTTAGGTTTAGCGTCCCATAAATGGTACGAAGAACATGTACGAAAAGACATACAAAACAACAAAATTTACGGACTTCGTTAACTTTATATTCATAAATATATATCATAAATGTGTCCATCAGCCCTTCACAAAGTATATTGTTGATGCTGAATGTATTTTGCCCTTTATAGCTAAGAAGAGCGATATCAGATATGCTCAAATATATGGATAAGAAGTCCATAACGAAATGTTTTACCATCATTTCCCCGAAAATCATACGATTTTTGTGTCCCATGGGAAATACAAATTTGTGCTGTCCCATCCCACGGGACGTTTCCCATGGACAAGCCTGAAAATATTGGTTGTAAGTTGCAAAACATGGCGTTCTACCACCCATTTTCTGGGAGCATTGTTACTCCATAGTGACACCTTGTGTCCCATAACTAATTAATTAATAACTCGCTAATTATACGACATAATTCGCCCAACATCATCAGGCTTCTGGTCCGAGATATGATGAATGCATATGGAAAATCTGGAGCAGATGCAATCTCGTTTTCGTGAGATATCGCGTGCATCTAACAGACAGACAGACAAATACCTATCAACATACTTACCGATTAAAATCGATAAGTAACAATGATTCGCTACTTTCAAAACAAAAATACACAATGATAAACCTTTAAAACGTGTACAGACAGATTCATTATTCGGAAAAATATCGGTCCGACAAATAGATTTGATTACTTTTCTCATTCGATATCAGTGAGACTTCTGCTGCTGCATTACCGCTGATGGAGATTTCCCACTGGGTTTATATCCTGTAACTTTCAGAAAAATACACGAACTTACTGGTTTCATCTTTCAGGATACTTCTATTACGAGACTTATAACTGTACAGAGATTCACAAGCATATGTGGAAGAGAACATGGCGAGTAATGCAGTTGCACAATTTTTAAGACACGAAAAATTTGTGGGAATGGTATCCCAATCACGCAATAGTTCGTTGTCTGCACTCACTTGTATTCCAGTCACTAACCTTATACAGTCACTATCACTAACCTTATAAACGAAAATATCGGTCGAAGACCGATGACTTATCGGTCGAAACTGCGGTTTCGATTTATGACTCTATAGTGAAACCACGTGTCCCATCACTAATTAATTAATAACTCGCTAATTATATGACCTTATTCATCCAAAATCAATAGGCTTCTGGTCCGAGATATGATGATTGTACATGCATTCATCATTTGGAGCAGATTCAACCCCGCTTTCGTGAGATATCGCGTGCATCTAACAGACAGACAAATACCAATCAACATACTTACCGATCAAGATCGATAAGTAATTAAGCAGAAATGAAGAAAAAGAGTGGCGCAGACGAACTATATTACGTAAGAATGAAGCCAAATGAATGTTACGCTCTTTTGCCGATAGCTCACTCAGTTGTTGCGTCATAATATATTTTTTTGTAGCCATATGTCATGAAAAGTCAAATAACAGATTGTTAACAAACGATAATGAATAAACTAATTCCTAGTTTCATCAGATAATTCATTTGGAACTTTTTATCTGAAGAAAATGATCTCGTTTTGCGTGCCCAATAAATGGGCTCGCGTGCCAAGTTTAACACGCGTGTCCGTGCCCTGCCGTATATGATAATGTGGTGCTGATTTCATATCGTTATATGGAAATTAAAGGGTATGCAGACACACGCTTCTACTGACTTCGATAAGATAAAATATGATTGCGCCGATATGAAATAATACGATATCGTGGGAACAGGAAACGTTTAGATGTTTCCATACATTATATCGTCTAAAATTCATGGCATACAGTGTAATTATGGCATACAGACCCAAATACATGCTTACCCGTAATATGTGACTAGTAACGTGTTCAATTCCTATGCATTGAGGTCTTATACACTTCAATGTTCCCATGTCGTGTGACTAAATTCCGTCTTCAATAGAGCGGGAATTCATGTTAAAATTAACAGTATGGACTTCAAATAGCAAGGCTGTATAAACACTTGTAGACATTATTATAAAGTCGGCAGCACAGCAGATAGGATTTCTGGTGCAAGTAGGGGAAGGTGGGACATGGAGCACAGTGGAAAATCGCACACTCGTACTGTATTCAGAATCTGGTCTGCGGTTCGATGTATGTTTTTGATATTTTCCAGCTTTATTTCACTGTAAAATATTCATAACGTTGGCGAGTAGATGTGCCTTCTTAATCTGGGACAGTCTGAAAATATTTGTGGGGAATAATAGACCGGGTTTCAGTGGGACATTTTACACTGGGCACAATTCGATAGTGTTTTGTCCATTGAGTGCTTAGAAGTCTAGAGATGCGTTATGTTTTGTGTAATAATATTTTATCATTTGGCCCTTGTCTCAATATGGAATGCATTAGAGATTCAAAAATATGTTTAAGCTTCGTTAATTAAAGTAAATAATTTACCTTTGGTCGGAATTAGAAATTTCACTCGATTTAATATATAAATGTTGGCTTTGTTTTGGTGGAAGCAATGAACAGTTTAGTGATTGAATAAATTACACCATCGTTTTTTGTTTTTTCGAACGGCACTCAAATCCCATATTTGTTTGATGTTTATGGCCTTTTTATCAAAAACTGTTACCGTTGAGAATGAAAGAATACATTTTCAATTGGTTGAAAATAGGAATAATCCAGGTGTTATGTTGCCAATGCATAAAATTAGTTTGAAAATTTTTTTGGGAAATAAAAGAAATATTTTGGTTAAACATTGATTTCAAATATACTAAATCTCCAAATTTAAATTCCCTCTGATCTTTAGATAATAATGCCGATTCTTTGCTTAATTTTATGGGCATAAATCGTTGAATTTAACAGAATTTAACAGAACCATATTGTGGCTCAGGGTCTGTCCGAATGTACCCCACAAGGGTACAGTAGGACATTTGACAAACGTTTTTCAAAACATTTTGGTGGTGAGATGTGTGTCGCGAGGGAATTTCTTAGTCGCTAAATAAAAACATACCTTTAACCCTCTCTGCGGTAGCCCCGCAAAGTGAAATTAATGTGCAGAATATAGGGCTCAAAATATGCAAACGAAAAAAGTGACTAGGAAAAAAGAGAAGGCCTATTTTTACGTCATTTTTTGCACTTTGCTGATTGGCCCATGTTACGAAATGAGCAAGGAAGTCGATGCCCGGGGAAATATCCCTTGAAAAAAATTTCCATTTTTTACGTGTTATTGCGGGCCAGATGAAAGGACGCCGAGGGCCGGTCTGGTCCGCGTGTCGTAGTTTGGTGCCCCCGGCTTTAGGACATTGATAGGTCCGTCTTATGTGATAAATAAAAGTAGTTTAAACAGTTATTTCATTGATAGGAAGATGAAAACTCGCCTTGGGTTTCGTTATCGGGTCATACACTTTTTCAGGTTGTGTGAAAAACACTCGACTGTCCAATTTTCAACATTCTGTGATGAAATATTGCAAGTTTACAGAAAATAATTTATATTTACAATGTTGCAGTTAACAATGCACACTTTTCTGCGCTATAGAAATGGGTTAGATTGGTATAATAATAACAAAAAAATTTCAAACTGAGAATGGTACTCATTTATCAATCTACTAGCCATAAATGTGTGCATCAGTTAAAAATATTAGGTTGCATTTTATATTTAAAGTTGTCGTATGAAAGTTGTCTTAGGTATTAATATATAACATAATTTTGATTTGAGTTGCAATAGTTTGCTATAAATATCTTTAAAATCTTATATGAATAGAGCATATTGCTATGATTGAATCCTAAACCTAAAATTTTGCTTTTCACTAGTAGTTTAGTTAGTAGGTTTGCTGGTTAAAACCGTTTTCACTCACCCTGTGTCTACTGATGTATTTTTGTCGTCTAAGCTTCTCTGGTTAGATGAACGCGATATCTCACAAAGGCGAGGTTGAATCTGCTCCAAATTGTGCATGTGCATTCATCATATCTGGAACCAGAAGCCTATTGATTTTGGATGAATTGTGTCGTATAATTAGCGAGTTATTAATTAATTAGTCACTATAAGGTCATGAATCGAAACCGCAGTTTCAATCGATAAGTCTCCTATATTTTTTTTTATTAATTTATTATTATTTGATAATAATGTTTCATGCATGACGAAATAAAATATCTCAATCTCCGACCGATATTCTCGTTTTTGTCTCATCAACATTCGACAAACTGACATATCATAGCGATGAAACGATCGTGCTTCATACGACTTCGCGCCATTCCCTGTGCCCTCGGTTACGCCCTGTCAGGTTGAGAACCATTGTTTTATGAAAATTATCCAATCAATTAGCGAGGCAATAAATCCGAAACTTATGATACTCAACCACTGAATACCGGCGTTGCCTCCTTGACTCTACGACACGCATATCTAACCAAATGAAAGGATTCAAAATAAATAAATGCTCCGCGCTATTGTGCGTATAAAAGTGTATTGTTTTCGATTTTTACACAGCTAACAATTAACTAAGTCCCAGTTTGGCTTGCTTGACTGCTTATTTATTATTACCTTCTATTCAATCATAGCAGAAAAAAAAACAATATATAGTTGAAATTCTCGCCCGTTATTTTACGTCGAGCATGGTGGTGATTCGCTCACCATGAATTGAAAACATAGCGTTGATGTTGGTTACAAACTTGTATATTTTTTATTTGCAATACTCCTTTTCTACTATGTATTGATCTGTACCAGAGTTGCAAGATCCCAGCAATCAAAAAAAAAAAAATTTCTTAGTCGCTAAATAAAAACATACCTTTAACCCTCTCTGCGGTAGCCCCGCAAAGTGAAATTAATGTGCAGAATATAGGGCTCAAAATATGCAAACGAAAAAAGTGACTAGGAAAAAAGAGAAGGCCTATTTTTACGTCATTTTTTGCACTTTGCTGATTGGCCCATGTTACGAAATGAGCAAGGAAGTCGATGCCCGGGGAAATATCCCTTGAAAAAAATTTCCATTTTTTACGTGTTATTGCGGGCCAGATGAAAGGACGCCGAGGGCCGGTCTGGTCCGCGTGTCGTAGTTTGGTGCCCCCGGCTTTAGGACATTGATAGGTCCGTCTTATGTGATAAATAAAAGTAGTTTAAACAGTTATTTCATTGATAGGAAGATGAAAACTCGCCTTGGGTTTCGTTATCGGGTCATACACTCTTTCAGGTTGTGTGAAAAACACTCGACTGTCCAATTTTCAACATTCTGTGATGAAATATTGCAAGTTTACAGAAAATAATTTATATTTACAATGTTGCAGTTAACAATGCACACTTTTCTGCGCTATAGAAATGGGTTAGATTGGTATAATAATAACAAAAAAATTTCAAACTGAGAATGGTACTCATTTATCAATCTACTAGCCATAAATGTGTGCATCAGTTAAAAATATTAGGTTGCATTTTATATTTAAAGTTGTCGTATGAAAGTTGTCTTAGGTATTAATATATAACATAATTTTGATTTGAGTTGCAATAGTTTGCTATAAATATCTTTAAAATCTTATATGAATAGAGCATATTGCTATGATTGAATCCTAAACCTAAAATTTTGCTTTTCACTAGTAGTTTTAGTTAGTAGGTTTGCTGGTTAAAACCGTTTTCACTCACCCTGTGTCTACTGATGTATTTTTGTCGTCTAAGCTTCTCTGGTTAGATGAACGCGATATCTCACAAAGGCGAGGTTGAATCTGCTCCAAATTGTGCATGTGCATTCATCATATCTGGAACCAGAAGCCTATTGATTTTGGATGAATTGTGTCGTATAATTAGCGAGTTATTAATTAATTAGTCACTATAAGGTCATGAATCGAAACCGCAGTTTCAATCGATAAGTCTCCTATATTTTTTTTTATTAATTTATTATTATTTGATAATAATGTTTCATGCATGACGAAATAAAATATCTCAATCTCCGACCGATATTCTCGTTTTTGTCTCATCAACATTCGACAAACTGACATATCATAGCGATGAAACGATCGTGCTTCATACGACTTCGCGCCATTCCCTGTGCCTTCGGTTACGCCCTGTCAGGTTGAGAACCATTGTTTTATGAAAATTATCCAATCAATTAGCGAGGCAATAAATCCGAAACTTATGATACTCAACCACTGAATACCGGCGTTGCCTCCTTGACTCTACGACACGCATATCTAACCAAATGAAAGGATTCAAAATAAATAAATGCTCCGCGCTATTGTGCGTATAAAAGTGTATTGTTTTCGATTTTTACACAGCTAACAATTAACTAAGTCCCAGTTTGGCTTGCTTGACTGCTTATTTATTATTACCTTCTATTCAATCATAGCAGGAAAAAAAACAATATATAGTTGAAATTCTCGCCCGTTATTTTACGTCGAGCATGGTGGTGATTCGCTCACCATGAATTGAAAACATAGCGTTGATGTTGGTTACGAACTTGTATATTTTTTATTTGCAATACTCCTTTTCTACTATGTATTGATCTGTACCAGAGTTGCAAGATCCCAGCAATCAAAAAAAAAAAAAAATCAAGACATAAAAAAGACAAAAAAAGCCAAGTACAAAAGACCCATGATTTGTCAGATTTTAAGCCCTTGGCACAATACTGATGTAGAGTAGAGCCATCAGTTCATTTAGTGAGCCACACAAATGTCTTTTCACATTAAAAGATGTATTTTCGGTTGCTATCATGGCAATAGTACTTCAGCAGGATGAAGAGTTTAAAAGTAAAAAGGGTTAATTGAATGACAGCGCCAGAATCTACATACGACACAATACAGTCAAGCTGACATCTATATAAAATAGTTATCATAAATATCAAAAAATCAAATAAAAAGAAACAGGGTGCCGCTTCAGTATGTGATATACCTATATGTTTCTACTTAAAACTTGTGATATATCTTAAAAATTCTCCCTATATCGTAGGCTACTTTACTATTGAAATTTTTTTCATTTTTAAATTTTGAAACCATCAATGTTATCAAAAAATTATCTAACCACGTGCCGCTTACAGGTGGACCACCGATAGCTAATTCAGTAATTTCAACGTAGTCACTTACATCGTTCGTGAGACTAAATTTTGATTTCTGCAATTAAAGTAAAGTTCCACATCAGGCATAATGAAAATTAAGTTATACAACTATTTTTTGGAAACAAAATTAAAAACTGACAAATACCACGCAAAACTATAAAAACGAGGTAATATTTACAACCCTGCTTGAACATCTGTCTGAGCGGCTGCAGAAACTGCAATTATTTCTTATTGGGTATGGTTAAGCGTTAAGGTAATAAACGAGAATATCGGTCAGAGACCGTAGACTTATCGATCGAAATTTAGGGGATCCCCAAAACAGCGCACTTACTCCATAGTGAAACTTTGTGTCTCATCACTAAAAAATTATTACCTCGCTAATTATACGACATAATTCATCCAAAATCAATAATCTTCTGGTCCGACATATGATGAATGCACATGCAAAATCTGGAGCAGATTCAATCGCGCTTTCGTGAGGCGCGGCGTTGTGGCTCATGGCGCGGCGGTGTGGCTCATCGTGCTAAGCGTGAGGAATACGCTCGCCACCGCACCTCTAATTACTCTGCGTGGGTTCGCAGGTTCAAATCCCAGCGGGGTGGTTATGTGCGAGAGGATTGCTGAACTCCTCGCCGCCGTTGGGTGGTTCACGTAACCGCTGGTCGGTTACGGCATCCTCCACCATCAAGTCCATGCTTCGGAAAACAAATACCTTACTAATCCTATACCTGACATGGAGTGGTAACCAGACGAGAGGCCGTGGTTCGCCATATGGTTAAGCCGTCAAATCGGCTTTCCTCTTCCCCGGGATAAATATGTAAATCTTATCTTATATCGCGTGCATCTAACAGACAGACAGACAAATACCTATCAACATACTTATCGATTAAAATGGTTAAGTACCGTAACAAGGAAATCGATGCTCGGGGAAATTCAAATGTTAAGTAGCTAAGTACCGGTAATATGCTATTGTTACACACAAAATATTGATTTTCATATGATTTTAATAATAGACACTAGAATAGACTCAAAAAAAGCCAAAGAAAAAGCCAAACGGAAATTCTGAAGCCAAACGAGTTTGAAAAAAGCCAAAAATGGCAAATTTGGCCTTAAAAAAGCCAATATGGCAACCCTGATCTGTACAGATAAGTACATTTCACGGTGATTCTTTGTCCTAGATTTTAATCTGATTTGAGTTTTACTCCATGCTATGTTTGATATTATGTCGAAATGGATTCATCCAAAACACGCATTGTATAATATTACAACCGAACGTTTATAGACGAGAACAAATACGTCGCCCCTGCACTGCGTATAGTATCCAGCATCTCATTTGCTACCAGATTTTTGTTCGATGCTGCAAGATATAGAACAACCCATAAAAATCGCAGAAGATACCGGTATCAAGATCGCCCTAATTGTTACTCAAATAGTTAGGGTCACGCGTTTTCTTATTAAGGTCAAGGATCTCGCAAATGTTCTCAATTTTCTATCCCTTTCGTAGTGTTACCGGTGTTACGGTATCAGCTGATTCTCTCGTTTCGTTGTGGGCATGTTTGGGTGTCTGCCTGAGATTACTCGATCGCACAGCAGCCGACAGGACAGCCAGACACACCAGATAAAAAGAATTTTATCTTATGACGGTACAGCAGTATGGGACTGTAGAATCTTTTTCGGAAGTTGCTAATTTCTGAAGTATTTTAATTGCTCTAAACCCCAGTCTGCAGCCCGGGTACGGTACTGCAGTACCGGTACCTACTGAACTACAGAATTTGCAAAACTGCAAAAGCACCAACGTCATGGCGACTGGATATAAAAAACAAACACCAGGACAAAGAAAACATATTCCATGTATTCTGAATACATTAATGAATATTTTCAAACACAAACAATTTAGAAGCGACTTACAGAGGAATGCGATTGAAACAATTTGTAAAGGTACCGGTAATACAGTAATACCATTTTTCGTTATCGTTATTCGTTACCTATAGCTGTATAGGAAGGAAGGATTTACATATTTATCCCGGGAGAGGAAAGGTGATGTTTATCCCGGGGAGAGGAAAGTTGATAAGACGAGTTGATCGTATGGCGAACCTCGGCCCCTGGTCCGGTTACCGGTCCAGGTCGGGTAGGGGATTAGTTAGCCAGGTATTTGTTTTCAGAAGCATGGACTTGATGGCGGAGGAAGCCGTAACCGACCAGCGGTTGCGTAAACCACCCTACGGCGGCGAGGAGTCCAGCAATCCTCTCGCACATGATCATCCCTGCATGGGATTCGAACCGCATGGGATTCGAACCCACGAAGGGTAATCAGAGATGCAGTGGCGAGCGTATTCCTAACGCTTTGCACGATGCGCCACACCTGATTGCCCGATTCTGTGATTATTACAGTATTACAAATAGGCTACTTAGATTTTAGGATTTATGTTAACTAGTTAATTGCTCGTTCTAAATAACTAGTTAATTTATAGGGTAACTTATTTTTTACTGGTTATTTCATGTTTATCATAGTACAGTAGTATACCTGTATACTGTAGACCAGTGTTTCTCAAACTGTGTTCTGCGGAACACTCAGACACTGCTGTTCCGATATCTTCTTAGAAAGTTCCGCAGAACAGGGATCAAAATTGTGACTTTATTGTTTGCCATGGCGATCTCGGCTGTACTTCGCCGACTTTGGGTCGCAAATTTATCTCCCAAATGGCAAAAACAAGTGAAAAGGCTTTGCTAAACAGGCGGACAGGCCTCGGGCCAGTTCGAAAAGTATGGCGTTATTGTTAACCGCCACCCATCAATTTCTTGGTGTTCTGCGAGGCGAGATAAAAAGCGTAGGTGTTCCGGGGCAAAAAGGTTTTGAGAAACGCTGCTATGAAATAAAAATTATGGCAAGCATGATTTTTTTTTCAAGCTTTTATTCAAATTTACTACTGAGAAATTTCAGTCTGCCCGCTCAATCTGTCAATAGCATTGAAAAAACTTGATTGGAAAAGGCACAAACATACTGGCGTACGCAAAGGGGCTTCAAGGCTTGGGCCAGGCCATAAACAAAATACAAAAATATGGCAATGTCTGCAGTGCTTAGAATCATGTCAACCAAAACCATGTTGACGCTCATTCATGGACACTTGCAAACACAATCAAAGGGGATAAATAACATAGAAACAGGTTTTTGTTTGTTGAGACATGCACACCAAACAATAGCATATCATAAAATGCATTAACACAAGCATTGCATAGGGAGAGTCAAGCTTATTATGTTACATTACAACTGTGATTGTATATGTACTGTCAAAGTTAGTTTTTTATTTAAATATTCATTCACTACTTTACTATCCATATAGTATGTACATAACATTTGCAGTATCTAGGTGAAAGTTTGAATTCCATTCCAATTTTCAAATTGAAGATATTTTGATTTTGTTACATTTTCTTAATGTCGTTTTCAATTGTCTGTAATAGTTCACTGTGTCTTTATTGCACCTATTACTCATTCAAAGTTTAGCTAGTTTGACCTCCATCGCCTGAATAATGAGAAAAATGTCTTCTAGCTACTTCTTCCATCTGCTATGTTTCCCTTTTTTCAGAACGACAACAATCCTATTTTGTGTGAATTGTGTCCAAAAATTCCCCCCCCAAATCCCGGGTAAATATGTGATTCCCATCCTACTATAATCTGTCAGATTTTGTATAAAATCAGTATTTAAATTGAAATAAGCTCAACAGCCACTTTGTTTATTTGTTATCTCTTTACCTACAGCTGTTGATTGGCTTTGAAAATTGTCATATATATTACTGTTGTTTTTGTCAGAGAGATTTGTAATAGAAATTTCTGCTTATTTGCTATTTTGTATACAGTAGAGAACAAAATACAAATTTATTTTTTCACATCTTGTTGAAAGAATGCATGCTTGTTTTTCCAGGAAATCAAGATGCATTTGTTTCCATGCCAACAGGAGCAGGGAAGTCGTTATGTTTTCAGTTACCTGCTATTTATCTGGGTGGAGTCACCATAGTAATATCACCTTTGATTGCTCTAATGCAAGATCAACTGGAACATATGAGGAAGTTGAAAATTCCAGCGGAAACACTCAATTCTAAACAAACTCAGGTAATAAAGGATGAAGAATCCAAGATTTAGGAATTTTTAATTCTTAATTATTCAATCCATGGGCATAAGGAATTAAGTCTGCTCAAACTGTATCCAATCGAGTCCTTTGTGAACCATTCTTTTGAACATAATCCATCCCCCATGAGATTCAAATCATTAAACACACAAAGGCTGATTGATTATGGCGCATTAATAACATTAATTACTTACTGAGCATGTAGGGTTACCTGAAGTCCTATTATACAATTAACGGTGAAAGATTATATATCAACATTATAATATATTTTTAAACTATTGTTTTTGATTTTTCAGGCTGATAGGAAAAAAACAATGGCTGACCTAATGAGTGATTCCCCGAAAACCCGCTTGCTTTATATAACACCTGAGCAAGCAAATACAACAACATTTCTTGATATTATAAAGCATTTGAAAATTAAAAAACAATTATCATTATTCGTGATTGATGAAGCTCATTGTGTATCCCATTGGGGTCATGACTTCAGGTAAATAATATCATTCTCCTGTCACAGGCTCATATTAATATGTACAAATTGATTTTTTATCATCGTATTTATATGTCTTCCGCTGTGATTGAGGCAGCACTGCCAAATAAGGCGCTACTATAGTTTGAAAATAACGACTTTTTCAAATTATTACGCCTTGGTTAATGTAGTGGGCATGAGATTTGGATTAAGGTTTTAACATACAATAACATCATAGTTAACTTCAACTCTTCACCATTAGGCCACCCCCCTCACCGAATTAGACAAAAAGAGTTTTCTTGGCATGTTTTTTTTCATATTGAAACCGTTATCTAGTTCATTTGTTGTATTTGACGAATATCCTTATTCAGGCGCGCAGCCAGGATTTTCAAAAGGGGGGGGGGGGTTCATAATCATAAATTCCCATTGCGGTCTGTAACAGTCTTCGCATTACGTGCTCGTTAAAGGGACGTCTTTTCAGCGTATAATGATTATTCTTGTCGCGTGAAATATTCAATCTCTGACAACTACAAAATTCTAAAATGTCTTTATATATTAGTTTAATTGTGTCCAACGTAACTCGCGGCTGCTTCTTCTTACGTCAAAATTAAAACATTAGTTCTCTGAAATGCCACGGCGATCGGTGGACATAAAGATATGAGATAAACGGTGTATTTAATTTTAATACGTATTTTTGGAATCTTGCCAACTCGTTATCGCCGTTAGAAAAATCTCAATAACTGATATAAAATCCCGAAAAGTACAATTTTATTTCGTACAATGAAAATGCATATGAAGTATATCGTTAGATCAAAAATACATATTCATCGCCACGATTACGCCACTTGTTAAAAGAGTGGACGTTTACAACGAAAAATGATTTTTCTGTTGTGCAAAGTAATCAATTCGTGACCGATAAGGGCATATTTAAAATGTCTTGCTTTATTAATTTAATTGTCTTCAATTTAACCAGCGTTTGCGTCGACAAAACAAAACAATTTTTTACAATTCACAATTTTAAAATACCTCGGCCATTTGCCGACATAAAAGTTTGTGGTTAAGTGCCTGTCGCCTATCATATATTGTTTTGATCCGTATTTTTTCTATTTTGCAAATTCGACAAATTCGAGATGTGCTTGTAACATTGACTCCGTTCGATCGCAATGCTGACACTCCGATTATTTTTAAAGATAAAACCTCCTGAAAAATCCGTAAATCTGCTGTAAATTCTCATGGAGTAAAATTTATTTCAGTACAATAAATATTGATGGATATACTTCGGATTATTTATCTTATATATCATCACAAACCGGGAAAAAATCGCGTTTTCAACCTTGTTTAATGATAACACGAAAATTTTCTACGACAATTTTAAAGTAATGGATAAAAGACAAATCCCACCCACAATTAACCGTGTTTCGATTGTAGTGACGGTATGTTCCTAACGGCGACCAAACATAATGTGCGCCGTAGGCACACGAAATTTTGCGATTTTGCGACTAGAAAAGCGTTTTTAGACTGTCGCGGGACTCAACAAAACTTATATTGTTTACGGTTTTATTTTCACTATTTTATAATGCCGCTTTTCAATCAAATTTAGATCGCGGTTTTACTCCTTCTTTTGTCTTTAGAACCTCGCCACCGATGAACGTATAATAACTCACGAATTCACAATTCCGTGCAAAGTACAAAAATAAAATAATTATCATGTTTATCGTGGCACAAATTTATGATTTAGAAAGAATAAAAACCGACGTAAGAGCGTTTACGGCCTAATTAACACGCTGATGAAAACATGGGCGATTTTAGCAGGAGGCAATTGCACGCTTTTTCAGTTTTCACGTTTCCGTGCGGGTACAAAAATAAAATAATTATCATTGTTCCCGCGGCACAAATTTGTGATTTAAGAGAATAAACACCAATGTAAAGGGCGTTCACGGCATAAATAACATGCCGCGTTTATGAAAACGAACGGCGATTTTAGCAGAAGGCAATTGCACGTGTTATCGGCAACTTTTTCACTTTTCAGAAAATTCAAAAGGGGGGGGGGGGGTCGACCCCGAACCCCCCTCCCCTGGCTGCGCCACTGTCCTTATTGCTTCTAAATATTTATAAAGAACAGGCTATCATAGTTTATTTTTATGTGACAAAGTTTTAAAATTGTTGTTCCTGTAGAAATATTACTCAACTCGAATTCTCAGTTAAAATTTGGACAGTACTCTCTCATAACGATACCATTCATCAAAGCAGCCAATTCTGAACTAATCATATCATGCCATATTCATGTCTTTCGCTCTGAACAAAATACTGTACATGTAGCTACTGACAATATTTAAGAAGCTACTATTTTTGTAAGGGATCTTCGTTTTGGCTTTGCCTACCTTATTCATAACACCTTGCATGAGGTGGTCGGCATAAGATTTGAATGAGGATGTGTAACGCTTCAACTGCCTGGCCATCTATTTTCTGGTATGTCTTAAGTATCAGGTATTATTAAATTTCTTATACCGTTTTAGACCAGATTATATGAAGCTTGGATCACTTAGATCAAAACTAGGAGATGTTCCTTTTATTGCATTGACTGCAACTGCTTCTCCAAAAGTTGAAAAAGATATCATAAGTTCACTGCAGGTATATTTTTGCTTTCTATTTTTAATTCATGCATCCACCAAGCACATAATCAAATACAAAATATTGTTGAGAGAAAAAAATTACTGACTGTTGATGATTGATATAACTCAATATTGATCAAGAATGATATTCTTTTTCTTTCAGTTGCGGAAACCTCTTGCTACTTTTAAAAGTGGAGTGTTCAGACCAAATTTATTTTATTCGCTAAAATATAAAGACATTCTGAAAGATCCATATTTGGATTTGAAGACTTTAGCACTCAAGGCAATGGGACCAAAATCTTTTGATGGAGTAAGTATTCTTATAAATATCAAGAAGATCTAGCATGAATTTATGTGTAATACTGGATGACCCCAAAACACAGGAGCCAGGTTATTTAGAACATATTCTATAGCAGTGATTCGCAAGCGGTGGGGCGTAGACAATTCTTTGAGGGGACGTGGAGGTAATTAAAATAAAAATATTTGTTACATTTGCCCTTGCCTGCCTTAATTTAGATATTTACATTTCAAAACTTTTCATTTGTTTCGTTATTTACAGTCCATCTACTTATTTTTAACGTGTTTTTTGAATAAAACATACTTTCGCCTCACCATCTGTTATTTGTAGCTCATTGTTAGTTACCGGTAGTTATTTTTGAGGTGGGGCGCGAGACTTGACAAATTCTAAAAAGGGAGTGCGGCTTAAAAAGTTTGAGATCACTGTTCTAAAGAGAACAGATCTTTTCTGCAAGCGTCTCACTATACTGAAACTTTTGGGTACAATCATACACACACAAAAGTTCGATGCAATGAATTTTCTTTGTATAAGTACCATAAATAAGAAATTAATGGGTTCTGTTTATTTGGGTCACCCTGTGAGTTATGCAAAATTATGTTCATATGTTGTAAGTGTTTTTTATATCTGTTTCAGACTCATGAAGGATGTGGAATTGTGTATTGTCATAAAAGAGATGATTGTACATTAGTTGCTGGGCAACTCCTACGCAGAGGACTCATGGCTAGAGCGTATCACGCAGGTATGCAAAGTGTCTAACAGACAAACAGACAAAGACATATCAACATACTTATCGATGTAATAACTATTCTAAGTATTTCAACAGTCTTGCTGCACACTAACACAAATATATTTCTGTCTGACCAAGGTCAGACTTCCTCAGACAAAGGTACATAGTTCAACGTTACAGAAATATATTTACGATAGTGTGCAGCAAGACTATTGAATCACTATATAAATTCAACTTGAAACTTTCAAATCAATATTATAAATTGAAGTTTATAGGAATTTATGAGCTAAAAAGGATAACTTTGATTATCTATATAGCGTATTACAAAATTATAAATGTGAAAAAATAATAACATGGTTAGGAGCTGGAGCCACCGAATTTTCTTGTAGCCCCAGCTCTGACATGGTAAGCTTGGCTCCAGCTCCGGCTTCACCAAAATGTTGGAGCTCCCGGCTTCGGACTCCAGCCCGGGCTCTCCAACCCTGCCTATAATATAGTACTGTTGTCACCGACTCACCGTATATCATTTATCATCCTTTCACAGGTCTTAAAGACAAAGATAGAACACAAGTACAAGAAGATTGGATGAATGGAAAAATATCAATCATTGTTGCAACTATTAGTTTTGGAATGGGTGTTGACAAGGCTAATGTTAGGTAATAACAAGTACTAGTTGACTTCTTTACTCTTTATTTCAAATGCAAAACTGTTTCAAAAACTGGGAATAATGAAATATTTCTTTTTGTTACTATGGATTTAGATTTGTTGCACACTGGACAATGCCAAAATCAATGGCAAATTATTATCAAGAATCAGGTAGAGCAGGAAGAGATAATAAAACTGCATATTGTTGTTTGTACTATTCCAGGTAAGATGATATTTAATTTCTTATATTTGAAACCCATATAATAAAGTTTAATTCAGTCAAAGTTCAGTCTAGTTGTGAACATCAGCATCCAATGATGAGCTTACCTGGTAAACCGTCTTTATGATATGTGTTGTTTCTGAATGTTTTCAAGTATAATTATTGTTTCAAATTTGTTGTGCAATTAATATCTGCCTTAACTTCAGAAAAGATCGAGATCTGATGTCTTTTCTGATGCGAAATGAAGTCCAGAGAAAAAAAAATAAGGTTGGTTGATCACATGATAGGTCAATTGCATTACTTGAATTTTTTGTCGAACATAACGCCACCAAAAGGGCGAAATTTACTAAATTGTCTCAAAACAATTATTGGCATTTGTTGACTTCAAATTTGGTACATGTTCAGCACAGCTGGAGCTGAACTTACTTCCCCTAACCCCAAGGATTTTTATAATTAGGTAGTACTCACTAGAGATGTACCGATGTATCGGTATCGGCAATATCGGCCATTTTTTCGGTATCGGCCATGTATCGGTATCGGTTAGATTAAGGCCGATATTTCCGATATATTTACCTTTTTGATATGGTCCGGAATGTCTTAAAAGATAAGTTGGAATACTACTTTTTAATTTATTTTTTGTCTGGAGAGATCGTGATCTATGAGCCATACATGTCCCTACCCCCGCGAGAGATCAGGATTCACGTATTTTTAGCTATTTTCGCTGTCAAATTTTTATATTGACATGCTTTATATTACATAGTAATTATGAAGAAATATATCAACACGGCACATAACAAAAAACAATTAGGCGCCCAGTTTTAAATCATGCAGTGGAATTGGGGTCCTTATTAACGGCACATGGACTTTTGGCACGGGTATAAATTCTGACTGTTTGTCGTCAAGAACGAGTGTCATTTAGTCCGACGACATCGATAAACTAAATTCCGACACAATTATCCCTCTACGCAGATATAATTTTGTTTAACTACACAATTTCTTTATAGATATATTGCCCCAGAGGGCCTAGACTGTCTCAAAATATATGATGGCAATTGTATAATAATATAAAATAGTAAAGTAAAAAAACATCCTCGACGGTTATATGTATAGGCCTTCTTTTGGTCGGTGCTGATTGATATTCTTTCATGTTGGCTTTGACCTATTGCGTCGACGATTACGATTAGCCACGAAATAAAATATTTGAAAAATGCTTTTAATTTAACGTAGGACGGCGGCTCTAGAATGTGTGGGTGATATTCGATATTTTTTTAAACACGAATAACGATATTCGAAGGTCGCGATATTAACATTAAATTCAATTCAATTATGAGTTTTCTAATTGAACACCGAGATTACTAGCGTTACTGTACAGTGTATCTTAATCAGTTAAAGCAAACACCAAGCATTAATTTCATATTATGTGATTTTTTTTTTTTCGATCTGAAATAATGTGTACTATGAACAACGCTCAAAGACCATTGTTTTAACCCGTCTGCCCTACACAGCACACCTAATGAAGTAATATTTACATAGTATCGGTATCGGAATATCGGTAATATCGGCCTTTCTGTAGTATCGGTATCGGCTTTTTTAGCTGGTATCGGATCGGTATCGGTATCGGCGACAAAAGTGGTATCGGTACATCTCTAGTACTCACTGTAGTTAAGGCTGGGCAAAATATTCAAATAGCGAATCGAATATTAAATTATTCGAATGGCATTTTACTATTCGAATATCGGGACCTCGTGATCTGCGCCGCCTCGCTCAGACACAGAACGTCTCTGAACCGATCGTGAATTGCGCGAGAATTCACCTACAACGCTCGCTAACAGACAAAAGCGCTAAATTTGAAAAATCGTCTTCGCGTTGTGGGGTTATTTGTTTTCTTTGCGTTTCAATCGTTCATTTCAATTCCCTATTTTGCAAAACAAGGTACCGACACCGTTCCCTAAATTTAGAAACGTCCAATCAGATGAGATATTTAAAATAAATTTTAAACTCCGTATGATTGCCGTTTCATGCATGGACCAAACATAAATTTGTTTAACGAAAATTAAAAGTTGAAATAACTTTCGCATTAAACCATACATAGTATAACACGAACAAGCTATGACCAGTAAAGAAATGGCAGGACATAATTCTTTTAATGTACTTTCAAATTAATTCTTCAGTGATCCCTTTCATTCTTGACCAAGTAATGTTTCGAAAATGTAAACATTTCACTCGGACATGCATGGCGGATGGAGTGTAGAAATCATAACGTGTCTCGTTCACGAATTGTTGTATCATCGGAAATGATTACATTCGTTATATTTTGAGCATATTTGCACTAATAAATAGGGCGTGACATTATCAAAATCGTCAAGAGAAGTAAAATTGAACTCGCAAATTCCTTAAATAAAATTTTGTATTACTCGGTAACGATATTAGATATAATGATCGCGGGGTTTCTTGAAAGAAAACGTCGGAACTTGGAAGAGTTAGTTATAATTAGCGCCTGGCCATCTATTGGGCACAAAAGTACAAAAGCGCAATTTTTTTCATCAATAGGTCGCATATGTAAATTATTATTCGAGAAGCGCTGTTTATTAACGTCATCTCGTCGTATGGCCATGCAGAAATGCCTTTATTGTCGAATTATTTAGTCACTATTTTAAATCAACATTCGGGATTGACACAATCGCAGCTTTGCGAGGTTTATCTGTAAAGTAACATAGACACCATAGAAAAGCATAGCAAAGTTAATTACGGTATTGTCTTAATAAATATCTGCATCCCGTTATCGATAATACAATTACCGTTTGCTTAATATTGTGACGGTAAATTTACAAACGTTGATAAGTGATATGAAAGCCAACGCCAATGATAAAAATTAAAATAATATTAATTTGGGTTTGAAATCAATCCTCAATGGTTTTAACAGCTGTTGCCGACGTGAACGCACGGGTAAACCCGAAATATAAACTTCGATGTCCGCCGACCCGAAAGAATTATTACTTGCAAAAAACAGAAAGGACGGTAATATAGATTATATATCGCCGCAAAAACGGTCACGGTGACAAAAACAATCAGCGATTATGACGAAATTAACCAGTAAAAAAACGCTTTGTATCCGATTTTTCAATGTCTTTAATAATTTCCAAAGGGAGTATGGACCTCCCGTTGTGTATAAAAAATATTCGGTATTCGACTATTCGGTATTCGTTAAAAATATTCGAATTATTCGATTCGAAATAAATATTCGATTTTGCCCACCCTTTAACTGTAGTTGCTGTAGTTTGCCAGTAAAACTTCTATACCAAAACTTATTTTCCATGAACTTCCTCTTTGTGGAATTACCTATTTTCTATCTCTTTCTGTAACATGTAACAACAACCTCTATCTACCAACATCTATGTCGTGGGGGTCAGAGTATTGGTTGGTTGGTTCATTTGGTGAAAAGATGTTTTCAGTAAATCGTTCAAGAATAGAGCAAAATGGAGTTAGAAAAGGCGCAAGAATTTATGTCTCACTGCAAATGCCATGATATCGCATTGAAAATAATGTTGAAATATTTTTTTTGGGGGGGGGGGGGGCATGGCCCTTCAGGCACCTCCCTGGCAACGCCTATGGTGTCATGAACTTCACCCTGGCTACGCCTATGGTGTCATGAAATTCACTATATTTTAATTCTTTCACTTTTCTAGTTAGGAGACTCAGCATACAAAAGATACTCTGCTACTGTGACAGGACATTTCCAATCGATGGTTAAATATTGTGAAAATATCAAGTAAGACTTTTTTCATTCAAATGTATTACATTATAAGGTTAGCTTTTCAATATGACAAAAGTGAGTAATGAGCAAAAATGAGTAATCATACAAAGCATTACAACAATAAAATAAAATCTTCACTCTCGCTACAACATTCTTTCATTATATGCATGTGAATCTACGGGTGCAGAAGCATGGAAGAAGCATAAGTTGGCCCCGCAGAAACCGCAAATTAAAATTAAAATTGAATTTCATATTGATTTAGATAATTTTACCTCACAAAAGCAATTATCAAAGTTGTAGTCAATCATCATTGCAATTACAATTAGAATTTTCAACCGTGCTTAGCAAGTTGTATCAATGTAATCGTTTACTTTATATGGTCACGATTTTTAGAGTGACTCACACTTTTTCGATTAAATAAAATACTCAAAAGGTTTTACAATTACTTAATTATAAAACTTTAAATTATCAATGTTATATTATTACAACAAGTTGCAAGTTATTTTTCCAATATTAAACTTGTTATACATATTTCTGCGATGCATCCCTTGTAGACATAGCTCGATTTGAAGTTAACACAAATGGTACGTACCTAACCTTCAACTTTACTCAAATAACAGAAATTACATTTAGATGAAATTGTAAGGTTAATTTGGGGGAAAATAATTCCTTTGTACTCGATATTATTTGCAAACAAAACCCTTGTGTCACAAATTTGTCTCACCTTCAACAGATTAGACATTTGATGTATCCATTGAATATTTTTTTTCTACTTCAAACTTGATTTATTCTTAGTTCATTATTATGTAATAGTGAAGTAACCTATAGTAGTCTTTTCATATTTAAATAGTGAGAGTAAAAACATGACCTTGGTGAGCTAATTCAAAATGATTCCAATTCAAAAATGATATATTTTATTATTTGTATAAAGTGGTAGGAAATTTTAAATGTGAAAAATAATTAGATGGTTAGGTGCTGGAGTTTCTGATAATTCAGACTCCAGCTCCATGCTCTGACTACCAACCCTTGTTATAATAAACATAATCTCATTTAGAAATATTCAAATCGGAGTATTCTAATTCAAAGAAACAAAAACATTCAACGCTTTTATCACTAGGTTTGAATTTTGCTGAGCTATTGATAGAAATGCTCATTGCATACACGTAGAGAACAAAATAGAAACTTGAAAGCACCTTACAGGTGAATGACAGAAAGTAATAGAAATGTCGGAGGAGGTTCACTAACACAGTATTTGATTCTGTATATCATCTTGTCTATAGTCTTAACCAGTTTTTCATTAGATTTCCTCAAACCTTTCATCAGATATTTTACCAATCATATTTTCATAGTTTTGTTTCAATTACATCTGTCTGGTTTGATCTTGGTGGCTTCTTTCTGGATGAACTGCAAGAAAAATAAATTTCAGATTTCAGTGATTCGGTACTGAAAAGTGGACAAGTTTTTGTGCTTGTTTTCACAATTTTAAATGATGGTCAAACAATAAGGTATATGTTTTTCATAACCTAACTCCATTATTCATGGTTGCTTTGAGTAATTGTTTCAAGAAGAGCGTTGTCATTACAGTAGAATACTGCAGGAAAAACTAGGGTACTACACAGGTTCTTTATTATTAATTTCATGCCAAGTCGTTAACATTAATGTTATAATATGGTATTAATTTTCCACGTACCTCATCCAACAGCATTCAAAAAATCCAAAGATAAATGTGAAACCAATTAGAAATATTATTGTAACGATAAATACAATTATAATAACAAAAAATCCAGTGCTGAAATCATCTTTGAAAGGTTTTATATTCTGAATATCTTCAATTGAGATTCCTGCAACATCCGTTAGTATATTTTTACTGGACATCTTTGATCTCTGCAGGATTTCCTAGATGTGTCTGAGTTCTTGCTGCGACAAGCTTCTATGTTCTAAATTTTATCACTATTATCTTGTTGTACTACTGTGAAGAAGAAAAGAATTCATTACATCTGCATTTATGGTTTGAATCTTTCAATCATGGTTTTGCTTCTGGCAAAAATGCTTGTTACTTTTCCTACATACACATTACACACTATATAGTTATATAGTACTATATAGTTTTTCTGCGTGCCCTTTCTGGAGCAACTAGTCCCCTAATGTGTGAGTAGATAATTTGGAACTTGTAAATCTGTGAGCTTTAACTTTTAGAAAACTTGTCAGGTATTGTGTAGAATTTAGAAGTAATTTAGTTAGTGGATTTATTACACCACATAGGAGTGGCCTATTCACTCCTATACTGAAAGTCTAATCTATCTCTTCTTTTGTGCTTCAAAATGTGTAGAGAATTGGTAATGGCACTTTGATAACTTACACTTCCCAAGTTGTGCAGGCATCATCTGTATCCCTAACTGCTTCTACTACAAGGGATATGAAAACATTCCTCTCTGAAACTATCGGTATTTCTATATGATGTAACTTTAAAATCCTTATCGAATTTGTTTGATTCCTCAAAGCATAAATTGTTATGTTAACGATCGTACACTAGTTTTCAGCTAGCACTAATTCAACTGAATGAGTGGTAATTTTAATTATTTTGATCTCAATAAATTACTAATCCTGAAATCAACTTCTTTGCCGATCGTACAAAACCCTGTTATGTTTCTGATTTCATATACTAAGCCTTTGTAACCATTGTTTCATTCTTCTTTGTTTATTGTTCTGAATTGATTTGATTATCATTTTCAACTTACATTCAATAACAAGGTTCTTTCTAAACAATGCTCTAGAGATATTCGATTGTCTGAGGATTGATGGATCCACTATTCAGCATTGACTGTTATTTTACCTTATGACAACGTTATTATTATGAAACCTTTCTTATCAAATTACGTCCCAACTATAGATTGCTTCATGTGCACAGATACCTTTTTATTGCGCTTGATTCTTCACTACTCTAGTACACAATGGTATTGAAGCAGTACTGATCAATCTACAAACTGATCTCATCCTGAATTATTAATTTTCACCCACACACAACCAGTCAGTCTTTTACTTAAAATATTAATATTGCCAAGCATTGGCCAAATAAGAAACATAGTAATGCACACTACCTCGATGACTGTACATCTGAAAATAAGATTGTTACAATCCTACACAATAACATGAGAAATTACCATCAAGTGTATCTGAATACTTTTCATTGATTGATTGAAAATCAGAAGCTAATGAATTTGAAGTCTGAAGTTTTTTACGTGCCGTGAGGCTAAAACAACAAGAAGTGTTTTCATAATCACCAATGCACTCACCACTACGAGCTTACGTACTCATTGGAAGTATAGAGGCATTTAATGGCCTAGATCCAGCACACTATGACAACAAGAATTAGTTTCAAGTACTTCAACTTATGATTAATATTGGGGTGGTTTTGATTAAATGCAGATTGTTGTGGTTACATTTTACACATTCGGTTTTTCAATTTCAACGATGAGTATTATTTCCAGTAATATGTTAGGTTTATTGTAGTTTATATTTCATTATTCTGTGTTATTTTTTCATCTTTTATTTTGCACGCATCGACACATGGCACCGTATTGTATTAAATAGATACCAGATTACGTTTAGAACATCTGGCATATTTAGAAATAATCATTTTCATTTAAAAATGTTTTCTCATTGGGTGAAGAGGGGTCCTCCTGAAATTAAACTCGATTGTCGTAATTATTTTGTCAATAATCAGTAATAAGGAACATTCATATAAATAATATATATTAAAGTTGTATAGATGAAAAATTACCTTAGGAGTCTCATGAAGTACATTATTTTAATTCCTGAAGGTAGATGGATACCTAAACAACATGCAATGCACTGGCATTTTTAGGTGCTTCAGAAGTATGTGTACCACTATGAAGGTAATTAATTTCGTTTGCTTACTTTTCATCAAGTTGTTTATAGGGACTAAAGCCTATGGACAGGGGTATATTCACTTGGCTAACACAAACAGTCCTGAACTCGTAATAGAACTAAAATAAGGAAAATCGGAATGAAATTATGACCTAACCTAACCTGGTACACATACTACGAGAGTACCCATTTTTATGCAGTATTTATAGACTATTCGATAAGGTAACTATTCACATTTTAGACCTGAACTGTTAACTGGATTTGAGTTAGTGGTCACAGTCTGATTAAACCGTCTTATTGTTTTTTTTCTTTCTTACTTGATAAATATGAAGAATATGCTATATCCTGTACTAATTAAGAGCCAATCATCTATCCATACATTCAAAATAGGACTCCTATATTCATTCATTTATTCAATATATAGAAAAAGCAGACTCTTATTGAAAATAGCAGTATCAAAAATTAGTACGTGTCATATTTCATATATAATCATTCTCATGCTGTCAACGTACTAAACAACAAATATAGAAAATATGATGTTGATGATGACAGTAATTGATTGCAATAAATATGATGTAAATCTACAAAACTAGTTTTGTTTCAAATAATAGGTACTATATACATAGGTTGGTGTACACTAGTAAAATCAATGCTGTTAGAAATAGTGACAAGTGGCATACTGTAAATTTAATTTCAAGTTGTCATATTTTCCCTCATTAACTTATTATATTTTATTTTTATTTGATATTATTTTTCATGAACACGAAGATAATTGCAAATATCCCAATTCCCGAGAATAAAAGAAATTATTTGAAATGCATAATTATTTTTTCAAAACAGTGGCTGTATGGGCTTGTATGTATGCTATTGTTTAATTGTAGTCAATAAAGTTTTTATACTCGTGTTCTCAAAATACTTCCTTTTGTCAAATTTAATTTTATTTTGTAATACAACGACATTGGTAGGGTAATCTATTTATATCTAAATTCAATGAAAAAAAATCTAAATTCTAAAAAATTGCTACAAGAATTATGATTATAAACATGGTGATTGATTGTCTTCTAAGATAATACTGCAATATCTGTCAATGTCTTTTTCTATCTAGTTCAATTTCTTCTTCTCCGTTTTTGATTCTATTTTTCTTCCTTCTTCCACAACTGAGAGAAAATGAATAATGATTTGATTAGTAATATGATCAGTGCAATTGTTTGAATGAACTAAGACACTGTAATATTTTAAGAATTACCCTGAATTAAACAGCAATCAGGGAACAATTCGGAATATTTTCATATAATATAACTGTTGCTGGAATATGTTTGACTTTGTTTTGGCATTTAAGGCTTCCAAAAATATATGTATGTATATCTGTGATTTTCTGAGTTAATCGAGGAAGTTATTGCCTCCATACATGGTATTTGGTTGGAAGCATTGAAAAATAATAAGATTCGCCTAACCCCAAAATATATCAATATTTCATTGGATCATATCACATAGATACCCAATGAAAAAGTATTTTGCACACCAATCTCATACAATGAAGGATTTGTGATGAAATATAGCATTGTTTAATTTCATTTGACTGAAAGAGCTAAATTGAAGTAATTATAAAAAAAACATCATTTCAGGCATTACGTGGTGACCCCAAAACCGAACCCAGGTTAATTTGGAACATATTCTAGAGCAGTGGTTCTTATAAGCGGTGGTTCGCGTCCCACAAGGGAGCATAGACAATTTTTTGAGGGGCAGTGTAAATTGAAATATTTGGTAGATTTGATCTTGCCCACCTTGTTTTGGATATTTCCATTTCTTGATCTTGGATATTTACGTTCATCCACATGTTTTCTACTTGTTTTTTGAACGCAACATACTTTCGCCTTACTATTTGTTATTTGTAGCTTTGTTAGCTAGTTAATTTTAAGGTGGGGCGCGAGACTTGACCCATTCTAAAAAGGCTTAAATAGTTTGAGAACCACTGTTTTAGAGAGAACGTAACTGTTGTGCAAAGTGTCCTAAATAATTGAAACTTCTGGGTGCAATCCTACATAAATTAAATAAATTCTCCCCTTCATTTTTCTATAATTAAGAAATTGTGGATTTTGTTTTTGGGGTCACTCTGTATTATAGCCCAGCTATCACCTACAAACTGGAAATCTCACTTATTTTGAGATTTAATTTTAAGTTCCTACCTTTGCTGTTAGAAGTATGTAAAACCACTCACCAACAGCAGAGACATTCCAAAAATGAGTAAAGAAATGCCCATGCCATGAGGAAAGCTACAGTTCCAATGAATGCCATGAAGATCACGAACCAGGCTATGCTATAGTTGTCTTTAAATGGCTCAATTTTGGCAATGTCATCAATTGAAAAGCCGACCACATCTTCAACTTGCTGTTGTATATTAGAACTCATTTTGTTAATTTTTAAATTTATCTGGATATATAAACAATATTGTCAAATACTCATAAAACAGAAACCTTCATTTTAACTGGCAATAATGTTGTAATTCAATGAACAAGGGACATGAAAAATTATGCTTTTCCCGAATTGAAAAAATGAAATCATTTTTTCAGTATTTCTAAACTAAATTTAATTTACCAAAATTCTGATACAGAAAAAATTTTCAAGAAATAATGTGAATCTTTCAAACTTTGGAATCTGTGACACAATTTATCCTTGGCCCTTGTGTACTCCATGCATCTCCATGCTCAGTTTTATCAGGTTCATATTTGTATAGCAAGGCAAGAAATGCAACAAACATCTAATCAACTCTAGAAATAATATAAATCCAATCAGCACAGTGGAAGGCATAATAAGATGGCTTATCCAGAAAACTGAAAATCAAACTATTGTGGAATTCGATTGGTAACTCAGACTTTGAAAAATGATAATAGGAATCATTTGACCAAAAATTCCCTACACTAAATCGTGCTCAAAATAACAACATAAAAAGATAAGGCAAGCATATATTAGTCATTCAATGTAAACGATTGGAATATAAAAATTTTTGAATCACAGTACGAAGAAAATCTTGGAAATGCAACATAATCTGGCATAAACAGCACACAGTGGACATACTTTCTTTGGGGCTTGAAAAATTTCATCTGGCAATTTTGCCCTTATGAAGAGCTATCAAAAAATGAAGATTGCAACCTGCAATCTAATGTGAATCATATATTCCCTTCTGCATATACTAATGCACTACTATGTATTCTATCATATTTTATGGCTTGGGACTAGAAAAAGATATAAAGACACACAATAACCAGCCATACCATAACTTTCTAAATAATGTATCAACTATACAAATATAATGCATTGTTTCTATCAATGTAGAATTTCAGGTACATCAGTTATATCAGTATACAATGAGTTTTTGATTATACAATATAGATAAGGTCATGTCAAAGGCACATAAAATAATGGTAGTCACAGGACTCCAATATGAAAAAAGCTACAATTTGTTTACAAGATATTTTCGAATTTTTTTATCAAGCTGAATAAAACCAATGAACTGTAGAGTACTGTTCAGAAATAAAATGAATCGAATTTTTTATTACTAAGTGTTATTAAAATATACACCAATACAATGAATTACATCAATCTGAATAGTTATGAAAACAAATAAGGCATATAATGAAAAACGTGGCAAGTTGAACGCGACAAGATAAACAGCTTACATGCATGAAATGTGTTTGAGTGTAAGATTAGAGGCAAGATTTAACAATTCATACAAATATTTTATATATTGTCTGTACCATATATGGTTGAAAAGTACCAAATTGACAAAAAATTGTGTACATTACTCGAAAAGTTATAAAATAGAAACAGGGGAATATTGAAGTACGGTAGATAATTTAGAGTCAGATTCTTGTAAACTGTAGATTATACAATCAAGGTGTCTATTTAAAGTGAAATGAAACTTTGTGTTTTCAAAAAATTTTCTTGATTTAAATTTTTCAGTTGTTAAAGCTTAACAAATCTATAGTTTTTTATGAGCATATGTCTACCAGGCAAGATCTTCCATTTCCATTTTTTCTTTTCCAGCTGGCTCCACTTTATTGTTTTTCTTCATCTTTGGTGATTTAGGTTCAGACTTTCTGGATGTTGCTAGAAAGAATTGATTCAATATTTATATCATTGTTTATTTACTTGTGTAATAATGAGCTGGCTTCATAATTTTATGCAGTTTTTTAATAAAGGAAGTCTTATCATTCGACTTTATAATAAATCTTTCCAATTTGTAAAGAGACTTGGACCAGCCCACAAGTGAGATCTTATAGACTAGTGAGTCATGCGCCTTGTCATATATAGGCTATAGCAGGGTTTCCCAAACTTTTTGGGCCGCGGACGCCTATTTGTGAAGCATAGTTTTGATGGACCCCCATCCTATGCGAAAGGCATTAAAATTTTAATCGCCTTTTCTGACAGCAATGGATATACGTCTGCAACGCTTAACAAAAAAAGGCGCGATGGCTTTTGGATTGAAATCAGTTATTATTATTAAAGATCGATCTGACTCTTTTCATATCGATATGGACCCCAGTTTGGGACACCCTGGGCTATAGGGTGTAAAATGACCTGCTGTAGTGCTTGAACGGTTAGACTTACCTGTGATGGCATTGCAGGTCAAAATCTTTGGTTCAAATCCCATGCCCACCACGTTACCCAGGGTCTAACTCAAAGCAATGCCGCATCTGAGTTTCAAGTCTTCACAAAAAAATTTTTCTTCTCATGTATCAGTGTATTTGCAGAGCCTTGTTCAGAGTGAAGGGCCAAATTTAAAATCAATAAAATGATTTAATGAATTTTTTAAATAGTCAAGGTTATTGCTATTTGTAATAAAAAAATGTTTAAAAATTCAACTTACTTGTCAAGCATGGACAACAGCATTCGCAGAAAGAATACAAGAACGCAACCGCAATCAATATCAGAATAGTTGCCACAAATGTTGCAAATATACTGAAAGATACAATGCTGTATACATCCTTGAATGGATCCACCTTGAGAAGGTCATCAAAATCAAATCCAACTATACTCTCAAAAGATGTCATGTTATATTTATTTGTTGAAAATCTCAAATCTGTGGCAAAAAGTTTTTTATGGTTAGTCAACCTAGGATTTTAATCTTAGATGAACACAATTGAGTTTTGTCTACTGTATCATTTCCATGTGCATTATCTGCTCACCAACCCATTAAAAATTACTGAGCGATCTTTGAAATTGGTGCCCAGAAGACCAGACAGACCCACACAATCATTCACATCTAACAAATAAATTTCATTAGATTCTAAATTTTAATAGCTTCAAGTTAGGCGTATAAATGATCTGCATCCCCAGACCATTTTATTTATTTTTACTATTTCTATTCATCAAATCAAGTTTTTGACCGAGACCAGATTCATTCTCTGAAATTCCATTAACTGAAATTTATGGACCATGTTTACTACTACCACTCTTTTTCTTTCTCACATTTGCTAAGCGGTTCCCAATTCAGTACACATTCAATCAAGTATACTAAACTAGTTAGTTGCTCAGCTTCTCATATTGCTTAGGACCTCTTGAGTATCGTTTTTGTATTGTGGACAACATTACAACCCAAATCTTCTGATTACTAACCAATGATCTTGTTCAAATCATAATGATTTGTTTAAATCACTTCCGGTTTCATAAATACAATTATGTGAAAAACTGATTCACCAACACTGATTCTTGTTTAAAAATTTGATATAACCACAATCTTTTTTTTTCTCTTCCCTTTGTTAAAATGTGGTTTTTGGTTGTATTGCTATTAAAGGATGAAGTAAGGTAAAGTGTAGCCTAACTGAAGCTTAAGCAAATAGGTACCGTACAAAATCTTTGTATTTTACAAGTTTCACAGTTAGGCAATAGAGTGGTTATCTAAAGTAGTTGATGAAGTTTATATCGAGCCTAATATTCATTTATCCAATACATTTCAACATAATAAAATAATAACACCAAAAATATTAAGAATATGCTGATATGTTTGATAGAACAGAACCATATTTTTAATTGTGAACGTTCTTTTACTATTATGTTTATGAATTGACTTCAATGTTTCGTCATTTTTGATGATATTATTTTAAGACAGTAAGCTTGATTTCTGCCTGACCTTCCATCTTTCTGTCGAAACATATTCTGATTGTATATTAATTCATATGCTCATCTTCTGACTACTGACTAGTACACTTTCTATAATTTTTAACATATTAATAATCATTTAAATTATGATTCCCATTTTGTTGATGAGCTATGGATTACCACTTGTCCACTTGATTATACCTTTATATTCACCCATCATAGCTCTTCAACGTAACTGAATGGAGAATGTTCGCATGATACAAAACACTCTTGTTTTGATATGTTTATCGAGCATATCATGGTATCTTTCACTATTTCCATACATTCAGAGAAAAGCCCTTTTTCATTCTTGACAAATTTTAACTGGTGGACCATCAATGTTCAATACTTTGTTGGTCATTTATTTCAGATCCATGCTTGGTTGACTATATCCTTCCTTAAACTAAAGCAAACAAGGCTTTGTTGTTAATACACTCGTAAAATGAATACTCTTCCTTCTCTCAATAAAGAGAGCCAATATTTCTCTTTTGATGAGAGAATGACGAACAATGAAAGATCTCCAATTGCTTTATTTTTGTTCCATTTCACCCATTGTCCTAGTTTAATGAAGGTTAACAAGTAGTCTTTGTCTTCTATATAATAGGGTCTTTTTCTATGTAGCCTAAACTGATAAGATATGATTTTTTTTAGGAATAAGGAATTTTACGGCGTTGGGGCAATGGCCTTAGTGGTTAAACTGTTAGACTTAACTATGTAGGTATTGGAGTTTTATTAAAAAATCTTTTGTTCAAATCTCATACCCTGTACCCAGGATGTACTGAATTGGATAGTTAATGTCCAACTGGGAAAATTTCCAACTTCCTAAATTTTATCATCTCTTTACTTATCAGTGCATTCTTATACCGTGGTGTATAAAATGTATTGTAAAAAAGAATGTGTAATAACAGTAATAGTACTCCGATAATCAAAAAACCTAAAAAGTATAATTAGATATTCGAACCTTGGGTGTCACTGCTTCATAACCTGCTTCTGTTCCACGCAGCTTCCCTTCCCCAGTGAAATTTGTATTCAACATTATTTCTTTAAACTTGGCATGTTCTTTTTTTACTGGATGGAAAAAATAAACTTGACTGGGACTAAGTAAAATAATATGTACTAGCTCTGTAAATTAATATGAAGCAAATATTTGTTGCTTGTATAGCAACTTTTCACGTTGTTCCGATCTGTTTACTACTTCTCATAAATTTTCTATTAAAAATAAGTTTCACATTGCTTCATCCCTGTTACCTTTAGCATTCAAATAAAAAGAAAAACTACTGGATTCCTGGTGAATCATAGTCTTGCGCTCTGAAACGTGCCTTTTCTGTTGAATATTTTTGTATCTTCGGAAAAGCATTTTCTAACACCCAAATCCTAATAATTTTGATACAAGCTTGTAGTAAATCAACATAAACATTTGTAGCATGTTGCACTAAAAATGTTGCTTGCATTTCGCTAAAACTTTATTGTCAGAAAGCAATCCCAGCCCAAAAACATTTTGTAGTGATCTAGATATTTTTGATTATATCTGGATCAGGGTGGTCCAAACCCAGGCCCATGTGACCGGCAGTCTCATTACCTGTGGCCCGCGTCGCATTCGAAGAAAGATCAATAAATCACCTTTGGTGTTGTTTCGTCATAAAATTGACCAGAAAATTGTTTTGACATATTGTTACATCACTAATGTCACTGAATTGACTAGTGTTATGGCTAGCTGAGGCAACTAGCGAAGTTTAATAATGTGCTTGGCTAGCCTAAATTGTTAACTGGCTTTTTATCTTTTTGGTCGGAAATATATTATGCTAACAATTTTGGCATCATATAAAACTAAAAATCGAAAGCTGTTTTTGTTAGCCTAGGTTGGCTTGATAAATGGCAAACACTGACCAATAAGTTTGCACAATAAAAGTGTTTGTTTTGTATTGCACTGTTTACCCATTCTTGGCCCTATTGTGGCCCGCGAATATTGCAAAAATATTTTTGTGGCCCCCGGAAACCGACAACCTTGAACCACCCTGATCTAGATTTTACATAAATTGCTATAAACTGCATTTGCTGTCTTATTAATATTGTGAAAATTTTTAAAGCATGAGAGCGAATCTTTATTAATAATAATAATTTACTTTTAGTTGTCGCCATGAATCGATTTCACTATTCTTTGGCAATAAAGCACCTGAATGTAATTCTATGTGTGATCATTGTCATGATTTGAAAGCATTCAAGAAACATCATGATGATTTTCAAAAGGTATAGAAGTTTTTGATCAACTTGTGCGCTTGTGTTCTTTATTTTGATTAAATTGAAAAATATGGTTGAATGAGGTTAACATGGTGGAATCTACGAAATTTTTATAACTAGATAACTTTGTGAAAGATGACCCAAAAACAGATTATTCCATAGTTACTTACAATAATCTATGGAAATCAAAGAAACTCATTAAACACTTGAAGTTCTGTTTGTGTATGATGGTACCCTAAAGTTTCAGTAATCTAGGGCGGTTTGCACAAAACTCATGCTCTCTCTGGAACAGTGGTTTTCAAACATTTAAGCCTGCGCCCCCTTTTTAGAATTTGTCAAGTCTCACGCCCCTGCTCAAAATTAGCTAGCTAACAATAACAGATAGTAAGGCGAAAGTATGTTTTATTCAAAAAACACTTCGAAAATATGTGGATGGAACGTAAATATCCAAATTAAAGAAATGTGAATATCAAAAAAAAGACGGGCAAACAAATATTTTTATTTTTAATGAGCTCCCTGTGTGGGGCGCGCCCCACTGTTTGAGAACAACTGCTCTGAAATATGGTCCAAAATGACCAGAATTTCGTTTTTTTGGGTCACTGTGTTTTCACTTTATGCAGAATATTGAACATTTTTCGTGCAGTTATTTTTTTAATTTTTTGTTTGTTATATTCCAGACACAATTATCCAGTGTTGGTCGTACTCGCATGGGGGAAAAAACTGAAAAAATCGCATGTCCTACAGGAAATTTTGATCCAGAATTGTATGCAGGAGGAAAGAAAGGATTTGGCTTTGATAGGTTTGTAGATTTGGAATTGTTCATCTATTGCTAGTAATATTATGGTGATAATGGGATAGTTCAATGACATGTTTGTTGGGGACAATTTGTCACAAAGGTTGCATACCTAATATTGCTCTCAGATACCGGTACATATATGTAGTTGCTGATTAAATGGTTTCTATGTCACAATGTGAAATTTAAAAGACAGTGATTATGGGGATAGTCTTAAATAGTCTGTAACTATCCGACACCACATAATTTTATGTCATCTTAGATCAGAACAAGGTCTGAGTTTGGATTAAACTTGCAAGCATTCATTAAATATAATCTAATGTTTTTTCGTTTATCAGCACATCAGTTTTTAGATCACTTTCATTTCGGCTTAGTTGTGTACTGTATTTTGAAAAATATGAGCTAGGCAATTTTTGATTATGGAATTTTTGGTAAATTTAATTGTTAATAGTTTACCACCAGTGATTCAGTTCTATAATACGGTTCAGAATTTTCATATTTATCCTAGAGGAGAGGAAAGACGATAAGACGGCCTAATCATATGGTGAACCACGGCCCCTGTCTGGTTACCATTTTATGTCAGGTTTGAGATTAGTTTGTTATTTGTTTTCGGAAGCATGGACATGATGGTGGAGGAAGTCGTAACTGACCAGCGGTTATGTGAACCACCCTACGGCACGAGGAGTTCAGCAATCCTCTTGCACATAACCATCACTGCACGGGATTCAAACCTGCGAACCCACGCAGAGTAATCAGAGGTGCGGTGGTGAGCGTATTTCCAACACTTAGCACGATGAGCCACACAGCCGCAAGTTTTACTTGTAATACAATGTTTTTGACTGTTTTTACAAGTGCTTTTTATCTATATTCTATAGCTTTTTGGTTTTCAGTGGTCACTTACTTTTCACTTATTTATTTTTACGTTTCAAGCTGTCAAAGTCTGTTACATTTACAGAACAGTAGAAGATGACTGGGGAGAAGGAGGTTCTGGAGGTGGCAGTAATGATATTACTTCAAAGGATTGGTCTGAATTTTTCAAAGAACAGTTTTCCATGAGAAAGGTAAATAATAACGTTCTTTAACAGTGAGAGCAATTATTTTTTGAATTATAGCCAAGTCAAAATGTCTTTATTTTGAATGTGGAAATAGAAGTGATTTTGTTGCTATTTCCTACAGCATGATTGTTATCTTAAACAATGATAGTGAAAACTATGCTATCTTATCATCATTTAAAACACTTCTGGTTTCAAGTTCTATATGGTTTAACTGCTCTGTTCTCAATTCTTTTTATGGTTAAATTGCTCTCTTCTCAATTTTCTACATATGGTAATTAATCGGAATGGATTGATACTTACATTTGATATAGAATCATGTTATTTTCAACGAGTCCAACGAATTTTTTCTACATATATACATTGACCTCTACAAAGTACAAACCATATCTAGTTTGAATTATGTAATTAGATTTCTCATATCCATGGCCATGGCTAAATTTTGACTTGACATGACTTGTCCCATCCCTAATAATCATTTAATAGTGTTTATTTTTATTTAGAGCGCTACACAAACCAAAACTCAAAGGAAACGTTCCAAAGAATCTGATGAAGACTGGCCTGATGATTGTCCACTGATTAAACCAGAAAGCAACAGACTTCCGAAATGTACCTGGAAGATTAGGAAAGGATGTTACGACAGACTTCACGTTACTTTGACGAGTAATTACCAAGCAACTCAAGGAAAGTCTGATGCAAGGTGATTTATTTTTGTTTTAAATAAAGAATGAGAATCAATATTGAAATACTGCTTTGTTCTAGGTCTGATATTTGTAAATTCTAGCGACATAATAGTGTGGATTTTGTACGTTATTGGAAATTTATCTTTTTGACAATTCTTACGAATGTGTCCTATTAAAAATATAATTTATTTGAATATGGCGTATTAAAACTATGTTATATAGAATTATATTGCAATATTTAGTTTTTAGGAATAACATAACCTCTTTCCACGAAATAGTAAGTATAATATGAGCTTTCGTTAGATCATAGTCTAACTTCTTCAGATAAAACAAGATATGGCTTGATAAACAGCGAATAAATGTTTGCTATGATCTAACGAAATCTCATAAATAAACTTACTATTTCGTGGAAAGAGATTATGTTATGCCTATTTAGTTTTTACTCAACTATTTTCCAAGTTTAATAATACAAGCAAAATTCAATTTGGACTGAAATCTCTAGGCACATTGACTTCGATATTAAGAAAATGATCGTTTTGTTATGGACCATAACTTTTTATGATATGTTTGTAAACACAGGATTTCATTGGATATTTAAATAATCTCAATAATCTGTATTTTAAGTGATTGGGAATCTCATTGTGCTGCAGCAGATCTGGAATTTGAAATATTTTCAACTGCTAAAAATTTGATGATTTATCGAGCTCATGTTGTAAGAAAAGTAAATGAAATTAGAAAGATGACAACAGAAAAGAAATTACACGAGTAATGCTTGTATATTGTTTCTTCTCATTGTACAATGTACTGAATGTTTTTTTTTTCAAATTGACAAAACAAAAGCAGTTTTGTATGACTCATCAATATGGTATTGTTCATTGCAATGAGTTTAAGATTTAAAACATCTAATGACAATATAGCATGCTTTTTCAAAACAAGGCCATGTACAACTCGACGATATGTAAGGAGCTATTCTATTTTTGGAAGGACAGGATTTTTTTCGGCATTGCCTACCCAATTTATTACACCCTGGGTGATACGAGAGGCATGGGACTCAAACCCAAGATGTGTTACCATTGACACTAACATAGTTAAGTCTAATACTTGAACCACTAGTCCATCACACCTACTACTGTTACATTTTAAAGCTAAACCTATCGTCTTATGTCTGTATGCAGTCTTATATACTGTTAGTGATGGTCAAAATAAGTGAATCTCAATCGGTGTTCAACGGAACATTGGTGTTTTGCAAATTACTTTCAGGCATTCTGTGTCAAATTGTTGTTCCCAATTTTATTTTAATATTTTGGCTTTTTTTATGATGCATAAGTCAATTAGCACACATTTGATTCTAAAAAAAGTATGTTACTTGATAATGAACATTTCCCCAGATACAGGTTTAAAAATAAAAACTGATAAATGGCTCATAAAACTGAGCCAATGTTTATTTGTCTGAGCGACTGCTCGTATTTCCATTGGGCTTGATACATCAATCTTAGCTTGTCATTGTAATAAAGGAAGATTGCTCGGTGGGTAATGTTATAAAACCTAGCACTGTCAGAATATAGGGTTCTGCTCATCCAAGCAAGCTTATACATAATATTTAAATGAAAATACAATTTCTTCAGCAAACAGCCTGTCTTAGATAATTCATATTTATATTTTGGCGATTTGCGACATGCGAGTATAAAAATCTTACAATTATAATTTTGTTCCTTTTCATTTGATGCTCTGCAAAAAATTAATGATGTAAAAAATGTTCTATGGCTTAAAAAAGATCGAAAATCACTGCTTTGAATGACGATCAGAACTACATATTCCTATAGAATTTTATTTGCAACCAGGCAAAAGTTTTTATCATACATTTACCATATTCATTATTCAGACAATTTGAAAAGTCTAAAAACGGTGATTCCAAGTCCAGATCAAAACAGTCTTGTGACTCTGAAAAGGAAGATTTCCAGCAATCAACTACTCTAAAACGTAAAAGAGCAAGTCATATGTATTCTCTCTGTGGTGTGGATAACCCAACAGGAGATGCTTTTCAAACTGCTGCTAATTTGCTAAAGGATAACAAGATGAATCAGGAAGTAGGTTGTATTTCACCATTTTTGGTTCAGTTGAATTGAAATGCAGAAAGAAAATAATGAGTGAATTCAAAAGAGAAAATTTGAAAATCACCAAACTACAATGAGGAAAGTTTTATATACCGGTATCTAGAATCTGCAATAATTTAGCGTTCAAATCAATTTTTAGTGGTGAACGTAAAAATAATTTTGTTTTTGATATTTGAAATAAAAATCAAACTTGTCATCAAGACAAAAATCTTTTTTTGAGTATGTGCTGTTATGTAAATTTACTTTTTCTCATCACAGGAAAATTCTACATTAGAAAAATCTGCTAAATGTGAACCACCATTGAAGAAAACAGCTATCACTTTTGATGATAAGGTAGGAATGCCCAAAATGAAGCAAATTTTTGCATTTTCCTGATAATTGTGAAGAAACTTGACATTTGTATTGTCTTGATATTACATATCCTGGAAGTCAAACAATGTTTGTGATCAAGAGGGATTTGACGAATTCATATAGAACATCTTACAATCGCTGACCAAATAAAAATAGTCTGACCACTGGTGTCAAGACTGTACTGGTTTAAACCCAATATTAATTTAGTGCAGAACTGTCAATGTAAAATACGTATTTGTCAATCATATTAATAGTAATCACCTTTGCTTTGGCTTTTCTTTATAATGTGTTTATAAACAATATTGGCTTTTTTCTATTTAGGTGCAATGCAAATCCATCGAGAGATATATCAAGCCCAATACATCGTACAAAAAATCTTCAAAAAAACTAACTAAATCGAACCAAAATAAGTGTGATACTGTGAAAATAGCAGAAGCTCAACAAAATGTTGCTAAAGATGAGTCAGAACCGCCTTCTAAGAAACGTTTGTCATCTTCTGAAAAGCCAACTCAAACACAGAAAACAGCAATTTTAAAAACATGTGATAAAAAATCAGATGTAAGCAACAATGAGAAAAAATTCAGCATCAGAGATTGGTTCAACAGTTCTTCAGCTAAAAAACACGAAGTCTCTAATAAATCAGAAACGAAGGAAATTGTAGATCTTACACTTTCTGATTCAGATGACTCAGATGAAGAGGAACGATTATTTGGAAGATCCACTCCAAGTCCTGTGAGTCCCATTAATATAAAAACGGAAAAACCTGATAAATTGAAAATCCGAGAAATTGAAAAAATGAGTGATAGTAGCTCTGAAGATGAGAGTGATGATGGCCCTGTTATCGTGTCAGCGTACAATCGGTACCAAACTGGGCCTCTGATCGATTTGTCAGACTCTGAAGATGAAATTGAAAAATCTCAGTCAGAAGAAACAGATAATTTATTTACTGGAATTACATCACTGGATAAAATGTCTTCTGCCTCTAATGAGGATAGGACACCTGAAAGGGATACACCTTCATTTCTGAAGTGTTCTGATAGTAAGGAGCTTGAAAACAATAAAAGTAAAAGTGATAAGACTATATTTGAACAGATTTTAAATGGTGATGATAAAGATTTGCAGTTTAGCACATCGTTTGTGTCCAAATCTGAGGATTCTTCAAGTGATCCGATTGATTCATCAAATGTCACGCAACCTCTTTCCCAACAACGGAAGACGTCAAGTGAAAAATCTGAGCAGATCATCAATATCACCTCAGAAAATGTGAGCCAAATATCGCCATGCAGCTTTGTTTCTACCTCTGATGATCTAACAACCCCATTTGTGAGGCCAGTTTCTGGTGATGAGCCTAAAGCGACAATAGTTACTACATCTTCGAATGATAAATTGAAAATACATCCCTTTAATGACCAGCTGACACCGAAGGTTGAATCAGAAGTAAACAATGATTCACATCCTCATTCCCTTCACACACAGCAAGAGGATTCAAAAAAGTTCAATTTTAAAAGAGAACTGAATAATAACACAGAAAGAGTTGCAATAAAAAGTGAATCTCCAGTTTCTGACACTACCATTAATAAGCCCTCTGATGCCAAAACTAGGTTCAATCTGACAGTTAGTCTTGAATGCGGACAACAAAATCAAGAAACTGCTGTTGCGTCATTTCGTAAAGCAAGTAAAGAAATTCTCAAAATCGTTGATGGGTTACCCGCCTTAAAAGCAATCTGTGAAACATCATCAACGAATGTTTTTCAAGATGTTGGTAACAGAAACGATTCATCGCCTTTGCTTAAAGTGCTTGAGCAACCTGAACCACGCGAAGACTTGTCGTTCCATGACAAAGATGATCGCTTATTATACAATTTGCCAATGAAGCAGTTAGACAGCAAGGTTGATGAGCAGAGCAAACCTAAGAATGTTCCAGAAATAAAGAATGACAAAAGATTGAAAGAAATTTCTGATATTGTCATCAGATATCTTTCACCTTTTTATAAGAGAGGGTTCATCAAAAATAAAGATTTGTTCAAAAGTTTTGCAAAGAAATTAACAAATTTAATGTTGATGGAAGCCTCAATGGTTGAAAAAGATGGTATGTAAAGTATCCATTTTTAGATTAGAGATTTGAAATTATAACCATGCATATCTGAAGCATAAGCTTTTGAATGAATTTAGAATTGATATTTATTCTATTTTTTTCCAATTTAGATAATCAAATTTATTATTATTGTGGTATTGTGATTTAATCATAATTTCCTGATAATCCTGTTTCCAAACAACAGTTTGCACATGATTGTGCGATAACTTTTGAATTTCTAATAGACAGCATCTAACTTTTATTATTATTCTATTTTATCTTTGTACAGAAAAAAAAATCGCAAGAGATATTGTTGACAACTTTTTCAAGCATTGCACGAAGCTTAAATCCGAAAATGATTTGGTCAAATTGGAAAACATTTTCAAAAATTTCATGAAGAGTTATGGATAAAGCATTATCTATGTTTTCAACTTACCGCCGTTATTTTTGTAGCCATATCAATAGTGAATATATACAACATTAATCCATTAAGCTATTAATTAATTGTCCAGTAGTCGCACACACAAAAATTTCGTTTATTGATCTTGTGGCATACGTTGTTCGCTTTGCACAAGCTCAGATATTGGCATTGTAACGCAAAGGAATTAGAATTACTCACACATTCTAGATTAAATTAAAAACTCGTTTCGCTGGCCGCGCATCATTCAAAATTGGCGCTTCCCTGCGGGCCGCACAAGTTTTCCTTGTGGGTGCAGGTTGCACACCCTCGTGGTACAACATAGGTTTAGTGGCAGCAGCATGTAGAGCTATTGAGAAATTATTTTCACCTTAACTCGCTAATCCCAGTTTTTCCATAATGCCACATTTAGGTGAGTAACAATAATTAAAGTCCCCAAACCGTTGTCAAGAAGCTTGTTCTCACTATATGTAGGAAGAAAATATTCAATGTACCACTGTCAGTATATTTTCACTTCTAAACTCTACCACAATGGTGCCTTATTGTTTTTAAATATTGATCACTGGTATTTAGTTCTGGTAAGTGGCAAAGCTGGTTAAATTTTAAATTAGTGAATAATACACTGCCAAGTGCCAAAAAAAATTCGTTTTAAAAAAATTGGCCTGTAGGTCAAGGACAGTTTGTAAAATGAGATATTTTCTGTAGTTTTTGCAATTCAATTTTTGTTATTTATTAAGCTAACGGTGTTATAGCCATACTCCATACTTGACCACTTTTTACTGGGTAAGATAGTTTCTTTCATTTCTTGATTCAAGTTAATTCTTCTATTTATATGATGAATATAACACTCTTTATTTTTCACTGTGCTTTTAGTTATTATATATTGGCAATATTTTTATGTTCTGCTTCTTGAATTAATTATATTTTCGCGTGTGCGGAATGGATAAAGGTTACGATTTTTGGTGAAGCAGGGTTTTATTTGGTAATTTTTATTCCATGCTTCCACATATTTGCTTTTTTGAAAATTAAAGGAATTTCAGTCGATTATTGGAATGTCTTGATTCGAAAGCGAAAGTACATTTCTTCGCCTTGTGGGTATGGCTTTTTGTCGTCGCGCAGGTTCGAATCCTGTGGTTGGTTAAAAATCATATGTGCGCGAGGATTGCCGCCGCAGCGTGGTTCACACAACGCTTGTCGGTTACCGCTTCTTCCATCATCAATTCCACGTATCACAAACAAACACCTGGCTAACTAGTACCATACTCGACATTACAGGTTGGTAGTCGTGCGAAAGACCCGGTAGCCACATAAATAAGGCATGTTTGGGCTGGTTCTCCCGGGGTAAATATGAAAATCTAACCATGTGCGTACATGCGAACAATGAAGTGTTAGAAGGCGAGCCTATCTTTAGGTGACTTTAAAACCGTACAAAGGTAAGCGAAAACACCGAACAAAATAAGTACAGGGCAGCACTTTTTACAACTAGTATTTACTAACTGTATCTGCGGCCACGTTTGTAACATTTTATTGCACTGTTATTTGATGGATGTACGTATAATGCACAACCAAAACGCAAATACGACGAATGGCATTCAAGATTTGCATATGACATGCCAGTTGGTACCTTTTTGACAATGCCAAACAGAACAATAGTGCAACAAACAAAAAGTTTATACATATATATTTATGTCGCATGTATCACGCATTTAAATAGACCAATTAGCAGATCAGTAGCCGATTATATCGGAAGTACTGTAATGCGCATGAACACATAAAATGTGACAGTGGTAAATATTCTTTTTATTTGATATTAACACAAAATTGTTTTTTAACGGAGGCAGCCGATCTACCACTGATTTACAACTCACTTCACTAGTTCAGATAGAGAGAGAAATTGTTATTACATAGTTGGGATATGAAGTATGAACCATACGTTACTTTGACACCTAACTGCACTTTCGTGGAATCCCCAAAATGCCAAAACAAAGTGCGGGTTTTTTAATTTGTTGGAATTTTCATCTATTATTTGAAACAAAGATCAATAGAGAATATTTTAATAAGATTTGAGGCTAAATTTGTTGCCCGTAATCTACCCACAGTGATAAGGAATAAGTTCAAATTATTATTAAGCCTTGGAATCGAACCAAGGTTGGTTTGTCCAATCCACACTGTCCCTTTTCCTGCTTCGGATATAAGGTAAGCCAAGATATACAATGCAAACCAGGAACGCCTACTAGCTCTTCCGAATATTTTCAGTTTCGTTTGGACACTCGCCCACACATTATTTGATAAACCAGGATTTAAATACTGCCACCGAATAATAACATACCCAAGTCATTTGAAACGTGCCGTATTCCAAAGAGTGACATGAACATTATTATAGTATTTATTCAAAAACAAAGGAAAATAAATAAAAATATATATTATTATTAGAGAAATTATTTCATTTTCCCAAGATTTAATCATGTCCTGTGATACATGTAAGCGAAGAACTAGTGCAATAAAAATCCCATGCATAAATACTTAAAGTTTACTTTATTTTGTCATTCTGCTGTACATAAAAAATAAAAATTTACTTTTTCCACCGTCACAACTTGGTTGACCAAGTTTGCAAGTTCCTTGACATTTGCTTTAATCTGTATAATATTTTAACATATATATTATATTAGACTACTGTTTCGTTCTTTATTTGATGATTTAAACTATTTGTTTTTGCCGACTTTCTCCTTTTCTGTTTTCTCTGAAATGTAAACTGTATAAATGTCAGATATTAGCAACTTTCTTTCTTTATTATGCTATTCGTATATGTCGTCACTGATTCATTTAATATCCGAATTAAGTTTTTAGTAAGTCAAAATGATTTATAGGGTTATGTACAAATCACATTAAAACTACTTACATCCCTCGAGGTTCTTGTATCTGTTCCTCTGTGGAACCTTCAATGGTTTCAAGCATCTACTCTGAAATGAAGAATTTATATTTAATACGAATATACCCAACGACTGATTATTATGACTCATTTGTGATAACTCATGCAGGCAATAACATTTTAATGTACCCTTTCTTGCTTCGATGCATGATTGTATGTGCAGCTTCAAATCAGGAAGTTTACGATTAATGTGATAAATCTTGCATTGTTTTATATCGACAGGTGTCCAAAATGCCACCAACGGAAAATGTCTAGTCGCAGGTTCTCTTCTATTAGCGGGCGTTGTCATCGGCCTTCAAAGTCTTGCTTTGCCCCGAATTTTACAAATGACTTTTTCGTACATAACTAACAAACATATTGTTACAAATTGTATTTATATACCAAAAAGAAATCAATACTAAAAACTACGATAACATATCCTTTTGTGATATAAATTGTGAAAATCCATATTTATTTTCACCAATTTTTAAGAGAATGAAAATAAAAAAAAACCTCGATTTTCGACACAACCAACTTCTTTTCCTCGACTACAGTGCCAGGTAAATTTTCTAAAATATGAGAATAATCAAAGTAACTTTAAAGCAAATAACAAACGAGAATATCGGTCGGAGACCGAAGACTTATCGATCGAAAGTTAGGGAAAGCCCGAAACAGAAACTGCGGTTTCGATTCATCCACTCTTACTCCATAGCGATACCGTGTGTCCCATCACTAATTAATTAATAACTCGCTAATTATACAACATAATTAATTCAAAATCAATAGACTTCTGGTCCGAGATATGATGAATGCACATGCAAAATTTGACCTGCACCAAAAAACTTCGGAAAAATTCATCCCCGATTCCTCATCCTATCACGGCCTCCAGTCCGATCACCAGTCCATAATTAACCAGCCATTTGTATTTGCATTCATAGACTCGGATGTGGAAGAAGCCGTGACTGACTATCGGTTACGGCCCAGGGGTCGGCAAATTTTATGTCGCTCGCAGGACAAAATTCAGGGTTGCTAGTATTTTGCGGGTCGCATATATTTTTCGAAAGTTAAAAACGGAACAGCGCGCAAAAACTGCGACAATTCGTGAACTCAACTCAGTCGTCTTATTAAAAAAATATTACAAGGACATTTAATGTGACACTGTCTTGTTGCTGCATCACGCTGGAAAGCTTTACGACGCCAAGATTGAAACATTTTCTAAATGGGCCTCACCGAACCCACTTCTTTGCTTGTTCTTTGTAATGTTAATTTTCGAAAATAACGGTTTGCACAAATACGTACTTTCAAACATCGAAGTGAATATTTCCGCATGATTTGTGAAATTTTGATAAATTTTGTAAGATACATTGTTACAAAAATTAAGCAGTGATCAATCTCTCGAATAGGATATGAATTTTATTTCCCTATTGCTTTGCAATATATTCGAATATTTACTGCGCTATTGAACCCCTGCACTCAGCATCATCTTTTCTTCGTGTTTCCATTTGTCTAATTATAATTAAATTGTAGGCTCGTTAAACGAGTGGCTGTTCACTAAATTGTTAGGATATAGTATAATTCAGTATAAATGTGTCTCACGATAAATTCTGTTACGTAAAAAAATGTAATTTACTCCTCGAGCGTAGATTATAATAGGCCATTGGCCGAAATCTGTAAAGCGCTTAAAAATCGAGTTCGTGGTGACCCTCGAGGGGGAACCTAAATTTTGGTGGGGAAGAAAGCTAAAAGCCTAATTTACTAAATATAAAAAGTTGACATCTCCAAAGTGGAGCATTACGTCACAATTAACGATGACGTCACATGCCCTCACAACCCATATATACCATATAATATTTTACTTAAACCTGAGATTTGTACGTCCAATACCGAAACCTTTGACGGATTCGTAAAATAAAATTTTTGAGGGGTGAGTTTTGGTACAGGTGACGTCACAATTTGCTCTTTGGTCAAATGTGACGTCATAACTGCTTTTCAACATTTTTTTTTCTGTTATTGTGCGGAGACTAAGTAATCTGCAATGGCCATCCCTGCTGTTTCCTATCGATACACACAGAAACGGATATTTCAAAACTAGTTTTTTATGGCATATTCTTCCGTAAAAGTAACAAAACTAATTATGGCAAAACTAAACATTAAAAAACACTATGCTATGAAAAGAACACAAAACGAGTACAGAGAGAGCAAGAGCGCGTTTGGCCAGAAATAATAAAAAAACAAAAGGCAAAATATTTCTCATGTCCCGCCTGCTATAAAATTTACTATGACAATTGTAAGAATTGCAAAAAAAAGCAATTAAAATATAAAAAATGAACAAGCAAGCGGCTAATATGGTGCATAATCACTATTGAATATGTTTAAATTGAAATAATTCGTCATCTCGTATAATAAATGTATGTCACTATTTTAGTTGTTTGGGATGGACTTCATGAAAGTTAAAACCATATTTCGATATTAATATCATCGTCTTCCTCACGTATGACATCCGCGTTGCTACAATCGTTGCAGCTGCACAAACTGGAGCATGAAAACCCTGACTTCACACAAGGGCATTTGCTGCTCTTGCAATTTAATTTGGCGCATCTGCATTTAGAATGGTTTAGCACTGAGTTTGGGGCAATTTGTTTTGAAATCCATTTAATATTTATATTGCTATCATTTACTATCCATCCGGGGTCATCAGGATTTGGAGCAGATATAAAATTTTGCAGTGCTCTTCTGTGTATGGCACATTGGTAGTTTGCACGTGCTGAATGGAGTACGATAGCATCATCAGATGGGGGCATACAGGGTTCGTCTAACGATTTATTTTGAAATATTTCAAAACGTACTTTGTTAACAGACATCTCATCAGAGTAACCATAAAGAGTGCAAACAAACTTTGAAAGTTGAATATAAATATTTTCTGGAATGTACCACTGATCTCCTAACTTTGAAAAAGCTTGTATGAATTCTTTTGATTTCAATAAATGTCGCATACCCTTCACTTTTCCCTTTCCACGGAAAGCGCTAATGGTGTCACATCCGCTAAATACATGTAGACCCAGAATAGCTTTGCAAAAGACATTTCCGAAGTAGTTAACCATTTTTCTGATTGATAACATCCTGGACTGCGAACCACTTCCCGGTAAAAAATACAAATTACATCCAATATCGGAAGAATGTGCCAATGACAATATCAATACATCGGTATCAGGACTGTTAATAATTACGTCGTTAAATTCCGATGAACAATGCTTTGCGTGTAATAAAAGCTTGGTATCTGCTTCTTCGTGATCGTTGACCAAAGAAGGCTCGCCCGATACGCAAAGCTGGAATTGCCTGAAATTGATGCAGTGACACTCAGCACCGTGGCCGATAAAAATTATCATATTCCCTACAGAACATGAAGGTTGATAATTCGGAGCAAACGAAATTAAAAATTCTACAAGAGCCTCCTTATTCTTGCCGGAAAACAAAAACTTTTTAAACTGTTTATGCGTTTTTTGTTCCAATCCTACTATTTTGATGATTTCGCTTTCATTCGATGATCTTCGACACCTTTCAAATTTTTTTATGCTAATATCTGGATAAGTGTCACACACAAAGTCAACCCTGTTACAATTGTTAGACTTTGCCATATTAATTATTCTGTCGAAAATCATATTTAAGAGTCTTCCAAAAGTTTCCGGAATATTATTCAAAGATTGCAATAAAGCCATACCATCTATTACAAGAGCTGCATTCAATGGATATGATTTGACTAATACTTCTGGCACACTATTTTCCAATTCGTGCAAGAGCCTGGCTTTATTAGTTCTCACCGGCGTTCCGTTTGGTGATCCAATAGATGCGGGGATAGCAGTTAATGGATATTCTAGCATTTCTTGCAGTTCTATATTTTTCGTTTTTCCAATAAGTAGAAGCCTATAGAAATTATCTTCTGATTTTTTAGAGAAGTGTGGTACTTTTTCGTTAATTTTGGCGCTACCCGAAGCAAATGTTTTTAATTTTAGCTGTTTTATAGGAGTGAATATACTTACAGTTGAATTAGCAAGAATTCGGTTTTGGCAAAATAAATCTGCGTTGTTTTTTCCCAGTCTAAATGCGTCTTCCATATCCATTTTAATAGCATCTGATGCAACGGACCCCGAAGAAAGGTTCATCAGAGAGTCGCATTCTAAATCAAACGGGTCGGTCATGAAGGTCACCGTATCGACTATTGATTGCACGTTTTGTTCATCTCTGATTGAGTTAGCAGAATCAAGGTCTTTGCGTTGTCGTCTAGTAGCATCTTTTCCAGCCATTTCCCTGCATTCCATAGAAATAAGAGCGCGTTGATGGTGTGATAGAAGCCATCTATTCACAGCATTTTTGTATAAAGATAGCCCACAAATTCCGCCTCGGGTTTTAGAATCTCTGTTCAAAGTTTGCTCAATTAATTGATCGCAGGCAATTTGGCTGAAACCATATTGAGCATGACGCTGTACAGAAAAATTTCCCTGCTTTAAATACTGATATATTTCAGGATGACTTGATGACAAATTTTCCATTTCAGACAAATAGACTGAGACATATCTCGCATAATTGATATGATCATATGCAAAAAACCAGGGTAGCATTTTATGAAGTGTAGCAAGATGGAGATCCCATAAGCCGTCTCTAGTAGCACGAATAAATTGCAGCAGAGGTCCAACCATATCGACATAAGAACTCCATAAACTAAATGTTTTATTCATCTTGCTCTGATGCTCTATAAAAAGCTGATAATCCACCATTAGACTCCTCACTTCTTTGCTTTCACATATTTGTTTGAATAGTTGAGGGTCTGTATAAGCATTATTCAGCTTTGATGCCAAATCGAAAACCTTGGCTTTGCTTTGCAATGATTGGTTTTTGATGAATACGTTCCACCGCATCCTATGCAACGCCTCAAACACGAGATTGTGGGCTCGAATACTCCTATTGTAATGGCGACCATGCATCAAATGTTCAAATATTTGGAAGTTATCGAAGAACAGGCAGTGGAATACATAATTTCTTTTGAAATCTTAGCAGGTTCGGAAGTCTTTGAACCCCGGTACGGAGTTATGAATTCCGATCGAGTTGGAACAGAACGTCGCTTAGATTTTGCAAGTTTTTCTCGTGATTGAGAGGCAACAACAGTTTCTCTGACCTGTATTAAAATTCCATTTGTATTATGTGTCGTTCCTTCTCCAGATTTTGTCTCTTCATTGAAATCATTATTATCCCAAACAATTGTTGACGGAATGCGCAGTAGAAACCCATCGGGAACAATCGTGTGTTTTTGCAGTTGCAATTCGGTCAATGCAGTATCATGCTCCAGCACAACAGAATGGGATGCCGAGTGGCCAAGGCCGTGGGGCAATTCAATAAGTCGAGAAGAACCGGTCCAATGCCTAACTGTCATTCCTAACGCTAAGTGTTTCGGTGTTTGTTTTCTACCCCTTGAAGCCAGATAGATGACATCTTGGGCAAGCGAAACTAACCTTATGTTGTAGAATTCCGAGACATTTAGGAATCCTTCGTTGCTAATATCTTCACTTGCTCCTACTATCCATGCTAAAAAATTATAAAGTTCTACTGGGATGCTTTTCTGTAAATTACGAAGTTCGAAATTCGATGATGTTGGTGGCCAGGTCTTTTCACATCCTTCGTAATTTTTGATTACATTCTTCAGGA